GCTATGAGACCAAAAAGTTTTCAGAAGCAGGGATTTATAGTTGTGTAGGCCAAGCAACCTCTCCAGAAAATTCAAAGTTATCTTATATATTACTCAACTGATAAGTCAGTTAGATATGAGGAACATCTTCTCTCTACTAATTAGGTCAAAGCTTTGTTCCTTTGTTCACATTACATGACTGACTGTCCAGGGCTGGAAATTAACTTTATTGTCCACCTGCCACACTGGCTGATGTAGTTTCAGCTGTCAATATAAGAATCCACACATCAAATAAATCCTAAGAGCACTTCACTAAGAACAGATGACTCAAGCCAGATCACAACATGTGTAAAAGAAACAGGAGTCTGAACACACAGAGGTAATGCCAGGACACGTGTGGATGTGCACTTCAACACACATGTGACTGCTCTGAGAGGATTTCACCATGTGGCGATGTCACACGACAGAACTCAAGGAGGTCACTGTGACTTTTTTTTGTGGCAACACTTCAGGTTTCTGTCTCCTACAAAGTTACAAAACAAATCATCAACCTGAATTATGTAACCATGAAACTATATTCTAACAGGCAAAAGACAACCATATGTTTTAAAGAGGGACTTACTCTATAATTATCGCCGCTGTGCTGCTTGTACTGTGACTGTCTTTAGTAGATATTTTGGTGATTTTTTTTTGGATAGAACATTAGTCTAATAAAAATGCATGTTAACATTTGTCAATATGTTTGGAAAATTACATAACATACTGTATATACCAACATTAAACACATAATGGAACATTCCCATTTAGCCTTTAGTTAGAGAACCAGCTGATCTAGGTGTTCCTGAAGCACTGGTCTGAGCAGAACAGATTCTGGTTAACTTTCACCCCACTTTCTTTTGTATTTATGTATTTTTACATTCATATTGCTGTGAAACTACACACCAGTACAACTATACATCTAAATCATAGTCAGATTCTTCACCTAGCTGACTGACAGCAGCAGAGGAAGAGTTTCTTACGATAAACAGGAATGCAATTAATGTTTACTTTCATTATCAATAATCTGTTCATTATTTTTGCTCAATAATTTAGGTGATTAAATGTGGTAAATAGCGAAAATGCCCATCAGAATTTTCCAGGGGCCAAAAATTGCGTTGTTAGGTTGCACCAACAGTCTACAACACAAGAGATATTCAATTTACAATGATAGAGAACTGGTGAAAAGCATTTTCACTTGATAACTGAGGTGAAGAATTGAACAAAGACTGTTAAAATTGTTGCCTACTTTGTGTTCGTTGATTAAATTGACTGAATCGATAAAACACAGTTCAGTCCACAGTAACACCAATGCTTTTGTCTTCAGGTATTTAGATTACTGTAACTCATTATCTCAAGGTCTGACACAAAAATCAATCAACTGCCTCCAACTTGTCCAAAATACCACAGCTAGGGTTCTTACAAGAACTCAAATATTCCCTATTCTCACCTCACTGCACTGATTACTCATGGTGTCCAGAATTAATATTAAAATGTTCACTTTTAAAACAAGCAACAATTCTTGCCCCTTCTTACATCATCAACCTTCTCACCCCTTACACCAGATCTTGGTCTCCAGTGCCAGGCTTGAGACAGAGGGTAGTAGGGCATTTGTCATAAGGGCTACACAATTGTGAAAAAAACTTCCATTGGGAAACAGACAAGCTACATCAGTGTCCTCTTTTAAAAACCAATTTCAATAAAATAGCTTTTAAGAGGGGTTTTTCTTTGTGTTTTATGCTTTCATTCCTTTGTTTAATCCTTTCTATTCGTTGTCTTTATCTTTGTCTCTATTTCTTGGCTGCATTGATTGATCATTTATTCCAAATTGTTATTGCACCATGTGCTTTCTACTTTTGAGTCTTTGAAGCACTTTGTAAATTTGTTTTTGAGAAGTGATATATAAATGAAGATAACTTTTGTTATAATTATTATTGCACTAGAGTCTATACTTATACCTGCAATTTTTATTTTGGTAACTTCTGCTCATGGTCATACTGGTAGACATTTTAGCATATTTATATCTACCGTTTCCTATATTTCTATGAAGTTTCTGTGTATTACTTTGCACTTTGCTGCTTTTTGAACTTCTGTTCCTCTCTCTGTTCTACTCCTACACTACATATCTTTGTCTTAGTGCTCCGTGCAATGACCATTAAGTTGAATCCAATCTAATAATAAAATAAGCAGACATTTGCTCACTGCAGCATTTGGACAGTGTGGATTTACACTCTTTTCTCTGTTTCATATCCCAATAAAGTGAACAACAGCGGGGTTTTTGCTCTTTCGCCAAATAGAAAATATCATATTAGTCTTTGTTTAACTGTGATGAGCATGGCAAACTTCTTATAAACTGACTAAATCAAGTTATTCATTGATAAGAAAGAATAATCTTCAGAAGGAGCCCTGCAACGAACCCTTTGCTCTGTGTAAGAGGCATACTAACAAAACACAACAGGTGACAGATGCTAACTTCTGACACCAGGGTTTTAAAGTAGCTAATTTCATCATCAAACATGACAAAAATTGTGTGCTTACAGACATATTTCTAACTGTCCCGGACACTAATGAGGTTGTAATAGTAGTTAACTTCATTATGAAACTGACGAACGCATTTAAGAATAATAACAACCCCTCTTAACGGACTCTCCAGCTGTGTTTTCCTGAGTGTTGTAGTCACAGACGGAGCCAGGTAAAGCCAGGTAGGTTAGCATTAGCATTAGCTTGTACTAACTACAGCTGACCATGCGTTGAACGCTATTAAGCTAACGGCTAACTGCTAGCTCAGTTAGCGTCTCCTACCTGAGTCCCCTTCCCGGCTCCGGGTGGTCCGAGCAGGATGGCACGGATCCCCTCCTGCACATCGGCTATCGCCTCCTTCAGCTGCGTGCTAGGTGCCATGTCTGGACCAGGAGAGCACCAGGGCAGAAACTTTATTAAAGTCTGTCTGTCTGGTCCTGATGACACTTCAGCCAAGTTGAGGCAGGAAAGGAAAACCTTTCCGCCTCCTCTCTGCTTCAACAGCTAAACCCCGCCCCCACTGGAAAATACAGCATTTTGATTGGCCGCTAGACTGTTCTGTCAGGGATCTGCGCTAATTTTGTTTGTTGATTGGTTGAAATGTGTGTGACGACTCATTGTGCAACATCCGAAAAAGCTTTCACTCCGTAATGTTGAATATGTGAAGAAATGTACACTATTTTTTAATCATAAATTAGTGATTTTATTATTGATCATGGTGTTCTTGAATTTTTTCGGTGTTGCTTTTTGGTTTTCCTGTCTATCCCAATTAATAATTCATTGTATTATTATTTATTGTTAGTTTTTTTCTGTATATTAATATATTTTTGTACTTATGAATAACTTTGTTTTGTCTTTTTATAATCTATATAATATTCCATTTTTTCTCAGTGACTTTGGCGCATTTCTCAGATCAAAACTATTTGTTTAACTGCCACTGACTAGATCACTTGTGCACATCATAAAAGCAGTTTCTCATTCTTTCACTGCACATTTTCAACACATTTCTATTGGATTTTTGTAGATGCATTAGATAAACCAATGTTCAACCACTTTTGTAAAATAGCTCACATGTTTTTATTTTGTGTGTGTGTGTGTGTTATGCAGTGCTGGAAAAGAGTTCAGTCATTTTCTTGACTGTATCACAATGTCATGGTCTGTCATCAGACTGCAGTGCAAACAGTAAAGGTGTAAATGTGAATCATGTCCAGTCTCTTGCAATCAATCTCCCACATACAGTAATGTGTGACTTTGTACCCTACTGTTGGAACAGATAAAGGCCATAAAGAAAAAGTCTGGCCTTGTGCATTGTTATCAAAACCTTAGCCATATTTTACATCAGAAAATACTGACAGAGTGCACTATTACACTGAGCACATAACCGGGTTTTGCAGGTTATTCTGTGGTGCTGTTTGTATAAATTGTTACAACAAGAAATGCATTTATTGTTGAGTAGATGTTGAGGATGAATCAAGAAATGTACCAAAGCGACAGAGAAAAACTGTATGTAGTTGGTGTATTATCCCTTGGCACCCTGGAGGGAACAATATAAAGAAATATAAAGAAATTGACCAAATTACATAAGTTATCTTGACTTCAAAGTTTAAATGAAAGTAGTTACTCTTGATGATGGAAGTAAAAAAAAAAGGTCTAGTGTGTAGGATTTAAAGACATCCATTGGAAGAAATGGTTTTCTTTAGTGTATAATCACCTAAAAATAAGAATTGTTGTGTTTTCGTTACCGTAGAATGAGTTGTTTCTATCTACATACAGAACAGGTCCTCTTCTCACAGAGTCTGCCATGTTGTTTCAGTTTTGTTACAGTAGCGTAGAATGGACAACCCAAACACTATTTGGATTTCTGCCTCGGCCACCGCTTTGCACACAATAGGAGTTTCAGTTCTGCAACCTCACCTCTGCCACTATATCCAACACACTGGACTTTTCAGAAAAGGCCTGATTAGTGAGCTAAGTCTGTCTACTAATATGAAATCATGAGATGCAGATAAAACCCCCCAAAATGTATTAAGTAAACATTATTTGTTTATTGGAGAAATTATGAAAATTTGAGTAACAAAGCATTTCCATGTCAGTACAAGGAGATTTCTAACTGTTGCCAATGAAGACCAAAGATTAGCTCACAGTGAATGGTATCTTTAATTCACATTTGATATTATAAACACCTCCTCTGTGATACCCTCAAACTTAACTCAACCCTCAACTACATATAAAGCAGACTAAAACCTCATCTATCTGTGTCCTTATTGTCACAGAACATGAAAAATGTGTTTCGTCTGGACAAAAGAGAAATGAGACATTCACTCAATGACCTGATGAATTAAATAAAGCACATGGGCAACACTTTAAGCCCTTCCCATTCTTTAGGCTGACAGGAAGGAGCTGTCTTTTAGCCGTGTTTTGTGAAATGTTAAATTAGTTCCCCTTCAGAGCAAGTGAGGATCACAACGAGAAAATGCCTGAAGTTGATGTTCTGTACTCTGATGTCAAGTTCACAAGAGAGAGGAGAAATGCACACGGTCAGTCTTTAATGTGATACCCTATCTATCTGTCCTCTTACATTTCTAAGAAAGCTATTATTGTTTGTGTGACATAGGAATGTTTAATCGAACACTTTATCAGCAGTAAGCACATATTAACAGTTAGGCTAACTGAACACCAGTTTTGTGATTTCTGTGGCAGAGACCAGTTCCTCACCTGCGGACACCACATACTCCGAGGTCAAGATTGTGCAGACTCAGCCACCCACAGAGCTTCCTGGTTAGTGATATAAAAAGTGATAAACAGGAAGGAAAACAGTAAGGTAGACTGTGACTTCCGGAAAATGGAGGTCCTGAAGAAAAAAGCTACCAGTCTCTGATCTGCAGCGCTATTCATCAACCTTGATGGTTTTGATGTGAGATGTTGGGTGTTGGAGATATCAGCCATAGAGGTGTCTGCCTTCTCTCAAATATAATGGAACTAAATGGCACTCGGCTTGTGGCGCCAAATTCTTTTTTATTTTTTGGGGGAGCAGAAAGAAGTGTGTATCTACTGCTCACTCACCTCACGCCACTGAGCCAGCTAACATCACAGCTCAGCAGAGGAGGACACCATTAATGTTTCCACAATGTCACGAGTCTCTCGTTTATGTGTAGCTGCACGCTCCTTTCTGCATGGTGATACGATTGGCGGGTGTAGTTCAGTAGGAAGAAAATAGTTCCTACATGAAACTGCTCACAACAAGGTCTGTGGATTATCTTGAGTAACCGCGTCATGATTTCTGGAAAGAGACATTTCTGTTGAGTTTTTTAAATATGTTTTTTTGGCACTTTGAGCACCACAAGCCGAGTGCCATCTAGTTCCATTATATTGGAGAAAAGGCAGACATCTCTATGGCCGGTATCTCCAACACTCTGCAACTCACACCAAACAATCTATATTTATTAATAATACTACAGGTAAGAGGAAAAATATGTACATTTGATTTTGGGGTGAACTGTCACTTTAACTTTTCATATATTTGTCAAAATAAAAATGTATATTCTCTATTGTGTGGAACAAAACGTATAACAGTAGAGAAATTGCTGCCCTAAACTATTAGTGCGAAATAGTGCAAAATATTGCTCCTTCATTCACTTTACTTCATTCACTTTAAATCCACCTTTACTGTTTGTATTATGAATATGTAGTAATATTACGAGAATTCATTCTATGTGAGGGTTGAAAGTTCATTTAAAAGTCAAAGTTGTGATTGTTTAAACCATGTAATCCAGATTCACACATATAAATGAAAACATCTGAGTTATAATAAAGAGAACATTAGCATTTTATGCACTTCTCAGCTACTGAATTTAAAAAATATATGCATGTGTACACATATAAAACATTACCAATGTGAACAACATCATCAGAAGCTTTTCGTAACATGAACTTTATCTTTAATAAACTGAATACAAAGCAAACATTTATCATCGGCCAAACCTCATTGCACATATAATGCAGCTATAAGACATGAAAACCAGGCATGGTGACATATTCCTCTTTCATAATATTTCCTGCTTTTCAACTCTTAACAAAAAAAAAAGAAAAAAAAAAGACAGAAATAAACACACTACCACAAAGAGCACAGGGTCATCTAGTGTTCACTGTGAAGTGTGAAGAGAAGGCCACTAAAAAATAAGGAACTGACCATGAAGAAGAACCACATACATTCAACGTTAAGTCGTCCTTTAAAGAGTATTCATGTTTCCTGTTAGTCTCTTTCTACGTGCTGTGGTCCCTCGAAGCTTCACTGTCTGAGTAAACATTCAAATATTTGTAGACTCATATTTGTATGTCTGTGCAGAGACTCCCTGGGTGATAAATAATGCACTATAGATAAGCTGAAGTTGAAGTTACAGCAATCAGACATGAAGCAGCATCATAACAAACAGCTCAAAGAGGCAACTGAGAAAAGGCAAAATGTTAGAGATGGTTGCTGTAAAAGTGTCTCCAAAAGACAGCATCGGCCAACCACTGATATGTTACATTTGCACACTTCAAATGTATCATATCAACATTTCTGATGTGATATAATACGTCAGTCAATGGGGGATGGTGGATGGTGTGACACTTAGCAACCACTGTTTGAGACAACAAACAACAAGTTAGAGTTAGCAAGTTGATTCCTGTGGTTTTTTAGGCAGGAAATCATAAAGTTTCAACATATCTGTTAATGCTGCAGAGGGTCTCCAGCTGAATTTTTTCTATTAAAAACTTCTCAGCTTTTGGAGAAAAAAACACATAGTGAAACTTAAATCTTAGAATTAAATTTTTGAAAGTTTAGTTTGAAAAAAATAACCCAAATGTTCACTTGAGTGGGGTGGACATAATAATATGAACATCTGGGTGATCTAGTGTGACAGCACTGCTCCTTTTATAACACATTTTGTTTCCATACAGCAGTTGGTTCAACTTTTGCTTTCACATTGATGGCGACATGTCCTCTGTCTTTGTCCTGCACATGCATGCTTGTAAAAAGCCAAATAGAAACCTGGTTGTGCGAACATACATGGCTGAGCCAAGAAATCATACCCACGTTTTTCTCCAGGAAAAATCTGAGTAACCTGCACCAGTTACAGGAACTTGGTTTCTCCTCAGCACTGTGACTAGGAAATCAGTCAAATGGAAAAAGTGCACTGCAAGTCATGTGTCTGTCTCTTCTGCTGTTCAACAGGTTCCCAACAGCTGGAGTCAAATGGACGATCAAAGGTCACATCAGAGAGAGTGGCCTTGGTAATTCTCAGTGCTCTCCTGACGGCTGCTGCCATCGCCCTCGGCCTGACCTGTACGTTTGCTCACTTCAAAGTAAATTAAGTTTAGAGCAAAATATAAAATCTGATGGTGGTTTTGAAGAACAGAGCTGGGAGCTTTCTGGTGACCTCAGCTCAGAACTTTAAGATTCAAGTTCAGTTTGATTGATGATTGATGTTTTCCTTTTTCGGAACAGTCGATGTTAAATCAGCAACAAATGTCACTTTTTTGGAAACCAGTTTTTATGTAGAGCTCTCCATTTATAATATCACTCAACTAATCTTGAAATGATTATGATAAATGAGCTCTATAAATTACATGTGTATTCATTTTTCAATCAGCTTACAAAAACATTGAAACCATGGAACGTCTCCAGAGGCTGACGCATGAGCATGACACCGTGATAAAAAATCTGACAGGTAAACCTTTTCAGCTGCAAGGTCACTTTCAAACATGTCACATTTTGGATTTAACACATTTTAATTCTGACTACTTTTGATGGATGACTGATGAAAGTGAAATGTTTTTATCCTCTTTCATAACAGAGAAATGCTGTGGAGTCAAGTCATGCAACAAGGTGCAGCATATGAGCCCACAACCTCCTGGGGAAAAAAATAGTAAGTGAAGGATTGTTGCTTCTGTCTGATTCAAACTCCTGAACTTCAAAGTCCCTGCTGCTCCAAGATTGCATGTAAACAGTTATTTGTTGCACCTGACTGAAGTCTTTGCTGTGATCTCGTCAAAGCCTCCAACAAAGACGGCTCATGTCCAAAATGTGAAGAAGGCTGGGAGCAACATGGAGGACAGTGCTATTATTTCTCCACCGATAAATCAACCTGGGAAGAAAGCAAAATAAAATGTCGACAACATCCGGGGGGAGACCTGGTTAAGATAGACAGTAGAGCTGAACAGGTATAACACACTGCTGCAGGCTCTTGTTTGATCAAATCCTTGTTTCCGTGTTAGTTGTTGTCACAAATAAGTCATGTGATGTTACATGGACATTTTTTGTCAATTTTTCCTGTCCAGGCCTTCCTGGAGCTGAAACTGAGAAAAAAAATGAACATTCCTGAGGACAAGTTCTGGATTGGACTGACAGATTCAAAGTTAGAGGGAACATGGTTGTGGGCAGACGGCTCACTGCTGAACACAAGGTTTGACACACTTCTTGTCAATTTCCATTACTAGAGTTACCAGTTTTATTAAAGTAATTCTCTCTGTTTCAAATAACTCAGTTTGACTTTTTGGAGCAGCGAGGAGCCAGACAACTGGAAAGGGGAAGATCCTGCTGGAGAGAACTGTGTGAGGATGGGGGAGAAAGCAGGAGCTGAAGACCTGCGCATTTGGTTTGATAAAGCCTGTAAAAAGCCTCAGAGAAGTATCTGTGAGAAACCAGCAGATCCTGGACATTTAAAATGTGTCTGAAATGTAAGTTCAGTGTTAAAGAAGCTCAGTGAAGGATGCAGAATGTTGAGCAATGCTGGTTTTGTACAGGTAATAATGAACAGGATGTAGGGTATGCACCTCTAAAACACTTGGTGCTGTACTACCTGTTCGTGCTAAGTGTCCAGGCAAGGGTATTTAGACAAACTAATCACAGATCCACATAACCTAACAGCCCAAAGATGGATTACAGACTCAAATGCACCACCTCCACTTACAAACCTGGATGTTGTAAACTATCTTGTGTTTGGACAGAGTACAAACAATTTGGTAACAAAGGTAACAGAACCCTTACCTCACAAGATGACAACCATGTCACTGTGATGTACCTTCACATTCTCTTTTGCGCAACATTTCAAAGACTTTCAATGGTTGGTTCTACTTTAGAGTAAGACTGACTCTCAGTCATGCAGATTACAACCACCTGAGTGACGCATGTGTTTGTGTCTATGTATATTGCTTGTCCTGCTTTGTGATGGTGATTTGACAGCGTATGACGAGGTGCAGCATTAACCAGCTTTTCACTGAGCTTCTTCCATTTGTGCTCCAACAGCTCAGGTCATCTGTAAAAATGCATTAAAACTATTTTCATCTATAAACTGTCGCATTTTTTGAGTTCTCTGTAACTTTAAAGTTTGGTTTGGTGATAAGCACAGTAATAAGGTAAAACAAATGGATGACTTTTCAACTATTATTTATTAACAATGAAAATAACTAAAAATCAAGTCAGAGCTGAAAGCATCAACATTCAGCCAACTCAAAAAGGCAAACAGACTGGACAAACAGTATATATCAGCAGGTAATGTAAACTTTTTCTTTCTTTACCTTTTACAGTTGAAAGACATCAGAGGCTGGTTTCACAGAAATATTTTAACATGGCTCAGAACTCAGACTGAGACTATTCACTAAGCTTACAGAAAGCTGCTGGAGTGAAGGGAGCAGAGCCGTTTGATGCAGGCGCTTGGTCAGTCATGTTTTTCAGCTTTAAATTAAACACTAATTACGAATATTAGCCCTAATGAAGAACTACAGAGCCTTTGTGCTACAGATGAATTTCAAGATCTATCAGAAGACTTTTAGTTTGATCTAAGCCACAGTCAAAGTCTATCTCTGTGAAACCAAACTCCTTAAACAGCAGCTAAACTGTGCAACAGTAACAGTCCATGTCCAAACATTTGAAATGGTTTGAAATAAAGGCTGGTGGTAGAGTTTTTCAGGCTGCAGAGAAATAAAAGCAATCACAAAACATGGATGTGATCTTTCAGTATTAACTAATCTTAATCTAACCTGCAGGTGATCCCATCAAGAAAAGTCATGTTTGTAGTTTATATTTCTGTTTGATAGAATGTGTTTCTCTTAAGTTTTCAAAATTTAAACAGAGTTCTTCAAAAACAACAAAATAATGACGATAGCCGTTCATCCTTCTGAATCCACCTCATCCGGTATAAACGGTGTGTCACTTGGCGTCTGCTGATCTGCAGCCCCTCCATCTCCTCCTCGTAGTTTTCGGACAGCGAGGATTCGTACAAGCATGGCCTCCATGGTGCTGTCGTCCAGAGGGGTGGAGGAGAACCACAGAGAGCTGCTGGGAACACAAGACCGATCTGGGCGGAGGTAGAACAAGTCGGTTCGCTGCCTCACCGACTCCGAGCTGGATGGAAGGAGAGAGAACAGAAAGTAGAGTTGGTCGATGAGATGAGACTGACAGGTGGTAAAAATCTGACAAAGACACATCTGTGTGTAGAAACAGGAGAGACGTCACAATCTGACAGCTTACATAATATACAACAAGTTCATGAGTAATTTACAGACTCTTGGATGTACTCTGTGTGGTAAGGTACAAACTTTGAGAATGATTAAACCTACGTGAAGCTGCTGAAGATACTGGAGTTTATTTGGATAGGGTGTAAAATCAAAACTAAGACTGGACTGTTTTCCAACAAATATCTGGGTGCGCTTATTTTTTTTCTTTCTAAGTGAAAAATTACAGCATTTCAAAATCACAATAAAACGTTATCGGGCTTCAAAATCCCACACTGATCATTAAATCCTATCATCACATCAGCAGTTAAGATGAGAGGAAAAGAAATACAGTAGACAAAGAGGCAATTAATATGACTAAACTAAAATGCATAAAAAATAAAGCTACAAACCACTTGGAGAGGTAAAATTCGTAGAGTCTGACTGGACAGCGGAGAGGGTTCTCTGTGTTCTCCATCATCTCTACGACACCCTCTTTACTCTCAGTTTTCTTACGCTTCTTAGCTGGGACGCCGTCGGCATCTGACCAACACAAATGACCACACACACACACACACACACAAAACGTCTGTGAGAGAATTATAACACAAACGTGCATGTAGCTGATTTTTCACATTCCTGCTTTAATCACTTAATGCTTAAATGCTCAAAAAGTGCCAAAGAGATATTTTTAGACAAAACTATGTGACTTCATAAACACCACCTGAACAAAATGTCCTGAATAAAATGATCAAATTGGAATAAGTTAAATGTAAGAAATATCTTAAAATGTTAAATCAATATTACAACAACACAACAACCAGGTCCTTCACTTTGACCATCAGCCACACTGGTACCTGACTCTGCTTTGTTTATGGATGTAGGGGGACAAAAGCGCAGGAAGTTGGTCTCTGTGTTGTTCTGGTCGGTTCTGGTGCAGTGCTTGATGTGGGTGAAGGACAGCTGGCGGAGCTGCTCCACCGTGGTGAAGCCTAAGTACTTGCAGCAGAAGAAGAGCAGAGTGTTGAGGAGGACGATGGGGGAGTACGCCCCCAACTGTTTACAGTCCCAAAGATACTCCTCCTCCACGCAGGAATGGATATTGCCTGCAGAGAGAGGGAGAGGGGCAGTTATACCCTTTATCCACCAAAATCAGTGTGTTTATGCTGATTTTTTAAACATAAAAAAACAAAACCAAAAAAAAAAAAAAAACACACAAAAAATAGGCAATAGACTCCTTTCCCATTGCCAGTAGACCAGAGCCATGTACACAACTCTGCAGTGAATGAGTATGCCTTTTAAGGGTGGGTGATATGGCCTTAAAACAATATTCAGGGTAGTGCCCTGCACGGGCCTATTATCTGGGCCCGGGCCCAGCCCTGGCTCGAGGGGGTGGAGCCCCAGCCCGGCCCAGCAGGTTTTCAGAATTCTCATGCCCGAACCTGAAAAAACACAAACCAGACTTTTTTTTTTTTTTTTTTTTTAAACCTCCCATAAAAACAGGTAGGCTGTTAATGTTGCAGACATCAAAATAGTTTAATTGGGGTTTCTAGCGTGGTATTAAGTTATATTCATTATATATTTTGCAGTCACTTCAAAAAACAAAATAATCAATTAAACAACCCAAAAAATGCTTCAAACACTTTTCTAAATAATCTTAATTTTGAAAGGAAACGAATTATACCCAGATAAGGTCGGAGGTCTATAACTGCACATTTGTGCAGTTATAGACCTCCTTTTAATGGCATAAGTGGGTATATTTCGTTTCCATTCAATATTAAGATTATTTAGAAAAGTGTTTGAAGCATTTTTGGGGTTGTTTAATTGATTATTTTGTTTTTTGAAGTGACTGCACTGAACAAACCCGGTTGGCTCATCTTGAAGGGTTATAACAAGTTTAAACTTTGTCCAATACTGAGCTTTTCCCTTGGTACTGCTCACTGTCTTAAGTTCACCATCTTCAGTCTTTTTCTTTATGTTGTCCATGTTTGTGGCGGGACCTGTGGGCTGGACGCGCAAATAGGATCAGTAAAATATGATGAGTGAGGTGCAGCGGAGAGGGAGAGGCACAGCGGCTGTCGGGCTGTCGGGCCCCTCGGGCCTCGGGCTCCAGCACAGGGCTGTAATTCAGGGTATTTTTGCGATAACAATATTCTTGACAATATGATAAATTAGTAAAATAATATTCATTATTAATTTAAGAACAGAATTGCAACAAAATAAGTGATGTACTTTCACAGTTTGGCTTGAAATACTCAGTAAAAACTCAACAAAAATGATCTCTCATTTCTTTAGTTTGTAAACAACAGTAGTAACTCAGAGTGAGATTCAGATTCTGTTAACTATATTAATAGTTCAACAAAATAAAATCTACCATAAATTACACATTTAAACAGCTCCCAAATACAAAAAATGTCCCCTGTTTTTTTCCCACCTGGAACTTTATGCTCCGCCATTTCTCCTCTAATCATCACGCTGTAACCTGTGACAGGCTGTTTTGCTACCATGACTATTGCACATTCACATATAGGTAGTTTTCTGTCGAGCCTCAAGTGTCCTCCGCTTCTGCCGGAGGAGCCGCTGAATGAGTTCCCTCTGAGCGCTTAGATGCTCAAAGAGTCTGAGAAGTCCAGGGCTGTTCATAAAACATTCAGGATGCCCCCACACAACCAAAGCTGCTCTTCTTGTTGGAACCACCACAGAGTCTGTAATCATTTTGCTTTCAGCCATGCTTGTTGTTGCCGTGGGTAACTGTATGACATCAATATGTTAACAATCAAAATATCGTGAGTAACACAAGATTAATTTTTCATATCATATTAAGAATTATACAGGTATTATTGTGAACAATATGATCTGGCACATGGCACACCCCAAATGCCTTTCTGTTTTTTGTTTTTAGAATAATATTTAGAATAATGATTGAGCGCTGCTTGGACAGAGATGGACAGTATTTTGTGGCGGTGCGTCACTGCATCGCAAGGAAAGAGAAAATATTCGAGCCAGAGCCAATAAATACCCATGACTACTGCAGAGTCATCTGACCCAAGAATGATGCTGATTGTAATCTTCCCAACTGGATAATAAAGCCAGATGTTAGTGTTTGTTTTTTTTTTTTTAAGAAATCTGGTCAATCTGAGACAGAAAAAAGACAAAGATCTGTACAAAGACTCACCACTGGCTGTGATTTTGGGTTTGAAACCTTTCAAGATCTTGGTGAACTTCTTGGAGAATTTCGCATAGATCATATCACTGAATATGTTCTCCCTACGACCGTTGTCAAACAGGTACTAAAGAGAAAACAGAAGAGAACAGTCAGGCAAAAACATCAAGGACTGTGTGACAACATACACCTATGTCCCAAATGATTTCTGAAGGCTTATGTTCTGCCGCTCGCAAAGACCAAAAGAAGAGAATTATTTGTTAATGTAGTGTGTGTATACTTCCAGCAGAGGGCGCTGCTGTAGAGGTGCAACTCAAATGATTCCCTTCTTCAGCAAGTGACATATCAGAGAATTGAAGGACGAAAAGAAAGGAAGACAAAAAAACCCATGTAAAGACAGATGGGAGTGGAAGGGGGATTTCACCCTGTACTGTAAATGTGCGTGCGTGCAGTCGTCTTGCCTGTTGTATGCCGAGACAGAGGTAGAACAGGCTGTCGGGGGAATACGGCTCTCCATCATGTCGTTTCACCTCAGTAATAAAATAACAGAGGCTGCTGCTCAGCTCGGCTGACGAGCAGCGGAGAACATCCTCCTTTAATGTCACAGCATGAACTAATAGGAGGGAAAAAGTCTTAAAAACATGTTGTTTGTTCCCATAACAACTTACACTCAACTTAAAGCTTGCTTTGAGGAAACAAATCCTACACAGACTGAAAATCAAACTGAAAAAAAGAAAGAAAGACAAAAACATACATGAAACGAGGTCCAGGTTAGTTTGTGATTCTCTCCACTGTATCCATCTCTTCCAGGCGTCAATTCCACACTGGCTCTTCAGTTTGTGGTGCTTCTTCGATATGACCTTGGAGGAGTCTCTTTGAGATGTCTCCTGTTTAGCTGCTTTGGATAACTGTTGCATTTTACGACCCTTTCATAGAGAGGAGAGACAAGATTACACCATAGAAAGACAAGACCAAAGCTTCTAAACTCCCAGGTAATTTGTTACCTTGTTCTTGTTGTGGACTTTCCCCACACTTTGTTGTGATAGCGGAGGGGCCAGTTCAGGGCTTGGTGAGCTCTGGGGATCCTCTCTCATCTCTGGAGGAGGAGGAGGCGCTGGAAGTTGGAGCTCAGGTTGAGGCTCACTGATCATTCCCACTTCTAAAACCTGAGGGGGTTTTTCATGGATGTGCGGTCGACTGAGTGACCCACAGCTGCTGTCAGAGGAGGAGTCTTCCTTGTTGTGTAAAGTGGCCTGATGATCTGAATTCAAGTCATCACGACAGTTACTGGTGTGATCTGAAAATAATGAGGATGATAGAAATTATGGATAAACCCATATGGAGCTAGAGAGTCTACATGTTTTTGATCTTAAAGGAATACTTCATCCCCCAAATGATGATTTGTGTATCAGTTACTCACCCAGTGTTATGTTAAATTTAGGAAGAAAACTTTGTTGTTCTTGCATGCCTCCATAGTGAATGAAGAATCCAAAAACAGATGCTTAGGACTGTTCATGTGGAAGTGTTTTAAATAGTTATACAAATGCATTAATGAGACTTGGATTATATTGAACAAATCTTGTGAGAGTTTGTTAATGGAAGTTTTGATGTTGTTAAAGGCGATCCCTATGGCTTTGATTTATCAATAATGTTCGCCTTTTGGATTCTAGGTTAAATGTGGAGGCATGCAGGAAAAACAAAGTTTTCTTTATGAATTCAACATTACATGGAGTGAGAAATAAATATACAAATGATCATGTGGGGGGTGAAGTACTCCTTTAGGATCAAATCAGAGAGGAGGCTAATCTATAAATACATTTCAAGGAAGCCCTGGCCAAAATGGCAGCAGAATTATGTCACACAAACTAACACAGAACCAATAATCACTGAGAGAAAAAGAGGGAATGCAGGACTCTCTTATTAAAACCCCCCCACAAACAAACAATGCACTCATACAGAGGTAATCCTTCTCAATCATCACTTGTGACCCACTAGAAATACGTGGTGGTGTATTTTTCATACACTCTGCCCTCTGCCTGTACTGTATTTCATTTTATTCTTATATTCTGTGTTCGGGACGTATATGGGTGTGTACCCCCACAGCGCTCATGTGGGGCTTTATTAGAAGCTAGAAACCAGCTGCCAGACCATAAGCAGCACGCATCCAAGAGACACAGCACTGAAATGCAAATATAGCAAGACAAAACACCCACATAGCGGGGGAAACGCCAAAACAGAGTGAATGTGGGGTTGGCTTTTACTTCCACGTGTGCCGGTCAGCGTGTAAAAAAACAGTAAGGGACAATGAGAAAATACAAAAAACGTTTCATCAAGATAACATTGACAGATTTATAGGACTCACATATGTGGGTGTACTGTGAGTTATAGCCTCTGAAGCAGTCTTTAAAAAATGTGACTATCTCAAGGACACGAGCGAAACCTTTTATCAGTGCAGAAAAACAACCTCCCTCAGTTATCTCACACAGAGCTGCTCTATATTAGAAACTGTTCACAACTTGGAAAACATACTGAATGTAGGTGCAGATGAAGTTCACAATATTTAAACTGATATATTCATATGTGGTGGTGATAATGCGATGCAAACATTCATATGTTCCCTCTTGTATGGGTAGTAATGTAATGTGTGTATGTTTTAATTCTTACCTGCAGATAAAAATTTGCTCTGAGCTAACTGTGCAATGTGTCTATTTTAAAAATTCAATTTAATTCTGGCTAATCCTGTGCTCTGAGGTAAGAGTTGCAAAACATGAACAGAATTAAAATTAGTGCTGTACTGTTTTCCTGTTAGACCATTTAACTTTTTTCTTTCTTTTTTTTTTTTTAAACTTTGATTAAATAAACACACTGCCCTCTGCTGCACATGTAAGCACCAAAACATTTTTTTTTTTTTTTTTTTTTTAACAAAATGGCAGCCCTTAACTACAATCAGACAAACATAGTGAGTAAATTAAGACCTTCTCTTGGCTATCCTTCCTCAAGCTTAACTGTAATATTATCATCACTTCCCACCATATTTATCAAATGTCCTACCCTTTGGAGAGTGAGTTTCCTGTCTGTCTAAGGCCTCTTCTGTCACCACTCGGTCCTTTCTCTCGTTTCTTTCATCTTGCACTTTCTTTCTCTCAGACTTCAAGTTGAGCTCTCCCTCCAACAGGTCAGGCTGGATCTTCTCCTTCATAGTTTTTCTCACTGGGTCAGGAAGAAATATGGGCACAGGAAGCTGTGGCATGGACAGTGTGAGAGAGGGAGTCAGTAAAATCTGATAGTGGTACCTAAAGGCTGTGCTGCCTAATCCCGACAAACCAACATGCAATCATTTTTAGGGCATTGAGGCTGGATGTTGCCGTTATGTACCTTAAAAGGCATTGTTACAAAGACGCTTGAGGCCAAAATGTATTCATTTAAAACCGAGATTCTTGATACTTTTTCCCGTAATCTTTCAAATGTCATAACTTAGAATATTAACTTAGTATCAAGAGTAGATAAAGACATATTGTGATCCTATTTTTTGTGGCGGTGTTTTCATGTCAACTGATGTTGATGGACAGAGAAAAGATGAATTAGTGTAAATTAAACTAGACCCAAACAGTACACTTAATCTTACAAAATCTAATGAAAAGAAAGCTGCAGGTCCGTAAAGCAGCTGAATCATGCATTAAGCTCCATAAACTGCTCACGACAAGGTCAGTGGATAAGTGAGCAAAATTTAAGAGATTCCATAAGTTTAAAGATTTAGAGCATTTTTCTTGCAGGGTTAAGTCCTGATATTTTCATGTGATCAAAGTTTAACAAAGTTCAAGGTTGTTTTTCATACCGGTAAGGGCAGGCCTATGGGCTTCGGCGTGTACTGGCTGTACATGTTCATCGGCAGAGGAACGTACACTGGCACTGGGACAGGCAGGGGTACGACATTGGGTCCGACGTTGTCTTCACACAACAACAACAACAAAAGAACCAGACACAACATCAAAACTCTTCAAAATGAAGGTATATATTTATTTGCCTTATATGAAAAAAAAACCAACACAGTACTGGATGCATCTTTTATGAGTCAAAGTCACTAAAAAGTCAATTTGGTATTTAGCAGTTTAAAATCCTGGAAGTGATTTTTACCTGTCTGTACCGCTGAGTCTACAGTCCGAATGGTACAGGAGACTCCTTTGTTGTGGACCAACGGTGTGCAGAGCATGGACTTGTTCTTCAGCTCTGTGGGGACGGTTTGAATACTGGCCTGAAGAACAGAAAAACATTGATAAAAACTTCAAATAACAATATTTTAAACATCAAAAGGAGCATGAATGGGTAATATCTTGGCTTATTCATATATGTGCTTTGTGAACAGGAGTTAGTTTTTGACAATCATGTGGAGGACTTGGTTTTTGTAGTAAACTTACATGTCCAACAACCTTTGTTTGAATGTCAGGGACAGAGACTGTGGAGATATTAGTTTGAGTCAGAGAAACAGAGATGAAGCATCTTAATGTATTATATGTAATAGTTTTTCCATGGTATATGCATATGAAGTGTCTGTGTGTGTACCAGTCTGTGCAGAGCTGGAAGAGGCACTGGACTGCCTGGCCAAAGCACCAGCAAGCGAGATGACATTAGCAATGACGGGGGAGGACTCCACTGTGCCTGTAGATCTGGGAGGTGAAGAGACTGTCGGCAGGAGACAAACAGGAGTAAATGATTGATCTCACAATACTTTTTACAGTAATTAAAACCCAGTGAATGTCCAGTTTGACTGTGTTTGATTTCCCCTCGTGTTTGCTTCTGGATACACAAGGACCACAACATCAGACATAAACAGGGTTGTACGCAATAAAACAGGCAAACAAAGCATCACATGGCAACAGCAATACATACCTTTGTTGACCATCTGGACCTTTCTATTGCAGAAATGCAGGAGACATCTCAGGTCACAGAAGTGTTTGACCTCTCCTATCATGGGAAGACTCTGCCGCAGTTTACCGTTACGACCGCAGGTGTCACAGTTGGCAACCTGAGAGAAAGCAGAGTGAACATGTTGTCGGGACAGAGCACCTCTTTGCTATCATCAAATTAATTAGCATTTTTACATATTCAGGTTTTAGGCCGGTTTGTATACATGTAGGGCTGCAACTAACAATTACATTGTCAGTCTATCTGCTGATTATTCTCTTAATTATTTGGTCTATAAAATGTCATGACATGGGGAAATGTGTATCACAATTTTTTAGAGTCCAGAGTCATTTTCAGCTGTGGCTGTAACATTTTAAGATATATAGTTTCGAACAAAGGAAGCATCTCGCACATCTATAAAACAAGACAGGTGCGTTGGAGAAAAAAGACCAAAAAGTAGCAAAAGGACTCCCGCACACTGTCCAACTTGCAATAAATTATTTATTTGCGACGTTTCGGTACTAGACCTTCATCAGGCATATACAGTTTAAAACAGTGGCTGGACCTATCTGACGTTTCTGTTGTGCTTATTTTATGTACTTTTTTACTCTGCTCTCATGTTTGATTAACCAAATCTATTGCCACACAAGCTAACCAATGTACTGCTGTGGACAGAAGCTGCTGCAAAACATATTTTAGCCACCTAAAATAATTATTATCTGTGTAAGTGTACGCTACATTTGAATATTTGCTCCGCTTTACCTTACACACTAACCAATTCAGGACACAATAAACTAGCAACTCTTTTGCTGAGTTAAACTACTGTTTTTGCCAGTGGAGTCTGGTGTCTTTCATATCAGGGCCAAGTTTCCCATTGGAGAAGGCTGTCTAATGGAAAGGTAAAACACTGAAAATAGTCTAAATATAGTCTACACTCAGATGGTTAAAAATGAATCAATTAACAGAGCGTTTGCTCAGCACCGTCTGATTTTATGCACATGAAATCATTGTAAGTATACACTGTGATTTGGTCTGTAGACAATTCCATTTCTATTCTGTTGCAAAGGCAACAGCTTTGGTCCCAGTTTACTTTCAGTTTTGGTCCCATTCAAAAACAAATACTGATTGCAAATGCACCACTGGAGCCTTAACCATGTCCAAGACTGTGCACAAATACATTCATTAAGTGGTCTAGAACATTGGTTCCCAACTGGTCCGGCCACAGGGTCCAGATTTCTTCTTAGTCATTAGTTCAAGGTCCACACAATTTAACATTTTCCGTGTCACACTTGTGTTTGACCATTAAGCTAGTTTGCTGTTTCTGTCAAGAAGATAACTGTTAGTAACTCTTATCATTATTTTGAGTCACATTGTTGAAATAATTTAGTTCTCTCTGTTCAAGCACATCAGACTTTCTATTTCCTTGTCGGAGATGGTGTTGCGTTCAAGGTCCCCCCACAAAAAATGGGAGGAAAAAAAAAAGGGCCAAATATTAAAAAAAAAAAAAAAAAAATTCACAATCGAATCCTGTGCAATTGAACGAAGCTTCGAATTTTTTGGGTCAGCCCTACTTGACACGTTTGCTAGTAACTTGCAGTCCATCCAGAGTGGACCCGCGACCCATTTTTGGACCACAACCCACCAGTTGGGAACCACTGGTCTAGAGATTTAATTTTTTAAAATTAAATAACTGTAATTTTATAGTGTGATTTCTATGATCTAATCTAAAGTTGACGGTACTTACCTTGAGCTAATACAAACATGAAGAGTACAAAAAAGCAGAACAGGAAATAAGTCACCTGAAGCTTGAATGCTACATTATCTACAATGGGCAGGTTTTTTTGTGCAGTGGATGAACTTCAACCTCTACTTACACGACAGAGGAGCATGTTATAATTTGAGCTGCACTCTTCGGAGCAGAATTCCTCGTCAATGCCTTCATACTTTGCTGTCACCAGTGTCTTAGAGATGGAGAAGCAGTAAGCACATGAGCCGCAGTGTTCGCCCCACTTCTTCTCCAGCTCATGTTGGAAGAGCCTCAGACAGCCTGGGAGGAGAGAAAGAATAGTAATATTTGTAAGAATATTATTTACAATAACTGACAACAAGTGCACAGCACAAACTAGGCTACAAAGTCATGCATTAGACACTTCAGTGTGACCCCTTACCGTCACTGCAGAAGTAGCAGTCTTTGCTGTCAACCTTCTTGACGTTTGTGATGATCCTCTCATTCTTACAGTATTCACACTTGCCCATGATGTTGTTGACCCTCTTGAACTCTTGAGAACAGGCGAGGCTACACACAAAATTCATTTTGCCCTGTGAACAAACACACACAGTGTTTTTTAATTAACACACTCACACAAATGTCATAGTGTATATTATTATTTCTAATATACCACAGTAAGAAGTTTAAACTTCAAAGGTCAATACTGTCATAATAAAATGGTGCAAATCAATGGACATAACTTTAGATTCAATTAGATCCATTGGTTAGACTCAAGGTACACTGACGGTTGTCTATTTTGTTCCATATGACAGGCATATAAATATTGATCCCTATCTTATAATTGATCAGACTTTGTTCCTTTGTTTGTCAAAGGCTGTTCATTTATTTATAAAAGTCTAGGCTATTTAATTGTTCTATACAAAGTGGTAACCGCTGCATGTGAATGCACAAACGGGCCAGATCTGTGCTTTGGAGAACAGCCTTCATTTCACTATACAATTTCACCCACCACTGGATTTTTAATGAACTGCAGTAAACTTGTATTTTAGTGCTTTTGTTACCTGGTATGAAACAACACCACCCTCTTCCCTCTAATAATGCTTTGTCATACTTCTCCAGTTATTTTGGTGAAAGTAACATAAAAGTAGTGCAATCAGTAAAGCATTACTCTACACTGACAGTAATATTGTAAAGTAACCCAGAACGTTCAAATGAAAGTAAGTAGTAATATGCAATGTATTACATTTTCAAAGTAACTTGCCTTACACTGATGTTACAACATCACAGCCTGACAGCTTTTACTTGAGACCCAACACACCTTCTTTTGGATGACTTTGGGTGTAGCTTTTATGATGCGGCGACACTGGGCACATGGCAGCTTTTCTGGTGGTTTGTGGTAATCAATCTGGGTTTGGTCAGCAGCTCCTGTTGAGTTAGCCGTCAGGTCTTTTTGGCTCTCCTGTGGCACAAAAACACAAAACAATATGCAAAGGTTTTAAATTTGTATAAAATAAATATGGTAGTGTCTAATGTAATATGGTCAAAGAGTGAAGTGATGTTCTACAACAAAGTACCCTGGCCATGTTAATTAATTATAATGAAGGAACATGTCACCCAATGGAACAGTGTGGCTTCTTTATGTTTTTTTAATAGCTTTGGGGCTACAGTGAGGGCCTTTGGCACAGAGGAACAACCTGTATTGGTACTTTTGTTGGTAGGATAAGTGTACATACATAATGTTTAGCGTTTTGAATGTTGTATAAGCTTCAGGTGGATTTACCTTAAAAGACATAGCACAGGTTAGAGTGCAAAAGTTTTTGACGGAAAAATCCGACATGGCGAGGTGGCAGGCTGGTAGTGTAGTCTTACCACAGTGGTCACAATTCAGTGGAATACCTGAGGAGAAAAGATTTTCATGACAGAAACTCAGCCAAATGGCAAAATCAATTAATATTACCACAAATACTGACAATGAACCACCTCAGAGTGGAGACATAGCTCTGAGGTTTCATGGGAGTAAGTTATCGTCCAGTACCTGATGCGCTGACAGCCTGGATCTTGGATGCCATCACACAGCTGTAGGTACAGAAGAGCTCCACTACGTCCTCACTGTTTTTGTTTTCAAACATATCTGACATTAAATGGGAGCTCTGGCACATGGAACACGGCTGCTGGGTTTTGATTTTCTGCAAATAAAAACAGCACAGAGAGAATATTGAGTCCATTCACAGACTCAGTGTAACTCAGGGGATCTAGAATCTCATCTAGAACAACTTGTAGAGCAGCGAGATATTCAACTGAAACAGTGGATAACATATGAATGTTTTTACAAAGGTTCTTTCATGTTTGTTCTTGTTGTTTTTTCACAGTGTTTTTATTTTGCAAAGCATGGACCTTAAATAACATTTTATTTTTTCCTATCTTATCATTACCTTTTACCTACATGTTTCATTCTCATAAAAATAAACAAAGAACTAAACTAGACACTGCCACCAGCCTTTAAAAGTAACTCTGTAGCTTTACAAAAAACATCCAAAAGATAAAGATATTTAAAAAAATATCCTATGAAATTTTAAGATGTTTTAGGATTCTGTTACCTGCTTGAATTGAGCCAGACACTCTGCATCGCAGAATTTTTTGTTACCGTCCTCCGTACTGAGCATGAGAGGTTTGCTGCAGCTGGAGTGACAGTTCTCACAGATGGACAAGTTGTTTATGTTGCAGAAGCGGAGAAAACAGGTGTCGCTGCAGATCTTGTGGACGACATCATGTCTTATGATCTCATGTTTGCTCTGCAGAAGGATAAAAACAGGACAGTGTGTCAACCATACCTCATACTCATTTCAATTCATAAATCTGGATAACAAAGGGCAGTGAGATAAAATGTTCGTGCAGTAAACTTTTTAAAGCTTTTGTTGTAAAAAGATGCACTATCAAGGAAAACATTTCTTCTAAATATGCCATTATTACAATAAAGAAACATAAAATATAATGTGATCTTTTGGAATCTGTTCCATTGTCTCTTACAATGCAATATCTGCTGCACATGCTGCATTGTGAATGTGACGCGAGCGGTATGAGGGGTATTTTGGTGGACATGATTTTCTTGTAGTTGAAGGAAGACAGGCAAGTCTGGCTGCAGAAATCCTTCTTCGTCCCATCATTATCCACTGGGGCCTGGAGGATGTCCTGACGCTGTGCTATCCCTCTAGAAGTACAAAAAAGGATGAGATCAATTAATCTTCTGCAATCTTAAACACTAAAAATGTGTAGATACAGCTGAGATGAGCTAAGCTAAAGGACATTAAAAAATAAGTCCTTATTGATACTGATCACCAAATCAAACAAAATACTTCATGACTCACTGAAGGCAGAAGTGGCAGGTCTTCTTAACTTGTTTCATTTGGTAAAATTTCAAAAGGCAGGAAGAGGAGCAGAAGATGTCAGCGTGGCCCTTCCTCTGATAAACAGTCTCTCCATCTATCAGGACCTGTTTGCAGTTGGAGCATGACGCAGGCAAATCCATGTGGGTGAGAGTGGGCGCTGGTGTTGTGGCCGTTGACGAGTCTTCTGTCAAAGAAAAGACTGAACCGATCTGTAAGTCCACCTGTCACAGACAAAACAGTGAGATGATACGCAGTGATTGTGTAGTTGTCAGGAACCTGGATATTGAGATACATTTTTAAATATCTACTAGTGCATCTCTTCTACCATTTTCCTCATCAGTATCAGTGATGACAACATCATCTGAAATACTTTTCATATCACTATTAAATCAATTATTGTTTAAAGAAGCTGTGCACAACATTCAAAGCATATGATCTGGGATTGTCTGCATATGGTTCTCAACATGGAGGTGGCTGTGCTGGTGGCTAGCAGCTAATGGTTATAGTGAAAACAGCACTAACACAACAGTGTTGACAGAGCTAACAGTGTTAACCTGGGGAGAACCGGAAGGTGGGTGTTACTGTTCTCTGAGTGCAGTGCAGTGCAGAACGGTGGCCAATAGCTAGCTGATGGGATTCACACAAGGAGTCACATGCACAAACATGTACATGTGGCCTTGCTGTCGACCAAAATATGAGACAGAGAAGATTTTATGAAACAGAGGGTAGCCTTTCTTCATTCTCTGCTCAGGACGACATCACTCCACTATATCTTCACATAGTGAATAGTTGTTTGCTGCTATGTTAATGCTCTGAATGTCATATACAGAACCTTTAAGGTGAAGACACATTAACAGAATCTATGTTAAAGATATTTATTATTGAACACAAGAAATAATGTAACAGTCATTTCAGACAGTAATGATGAGAAAGGCTTGTTTTAAATGCAGTGAAATGAACTATCTGCTATCTGTACTTAACATAGACTGTATAAAAAAGATAGATGACATGACAGCTCCCCTAAAGTGAAGCCAAAATATCTCAACTGCCCTCTGGTAGCTGGCTGCAGTATAGGTCATAAAGCCCGTCCCCTCCATGTTAGTAAATGGGACATAAGCCAAACTAAAAACTCTCAATTCAATCAATCAATTTTATTTATAAAGCCCAATATCACAAATCACAATTTGCCTCACAGGGCTTTACAGCATACGACATCCCTCTGTCCTTAAGACCCTCACAGCGGATAAGGAAAAACTCCCCAAAAAACCCCCTTTAACAGGGAAAAAAAACTCTCAAGTACATGTCAAATTTTTTTTTTTCCAAAGATGGTTTCTGTCATTTCAGGTAGTTTTTATCATGCTGCAGTATGTTATTTGACACTATAAACATGAGGTTTGACATCATGATTGACAGCTATGTGTATTGATCTGTGTGCTCTGTGATCAATGGCACTGCTTGGATTGGTCGTAGAGGTGTTTGGTCGCGAACTTGACACCACCGAGATCACTACTGCGCAGACTGTGGCTCCAAATGAGGTCACCAGCACAAGATGGCAGCAGCCTTATCTGGGATATTTTGGCCTCATTTTTGTACAGTGAGGGTTAAGTGGGGACAAAATGTCCAAATTTATACACAGTCTATGGTATTTGCATACTTACACTTAGCTGTAGGTTAACATTGTCAGTGCTGGACTTAAATGTAATGTATGTCAACTCATAAATCTGCCTTATGGTGATAGATATATACAACACAAGCTTTTTTTTTTTTTTTTTTTTTAGAAAAAAGGTTTTTTATCTCCCATGAACTGTATCATGTTTCTTACCTTGGTCACATCTCCTGCCTTAGGCTCATCCTTAATGTCATCTGTGGAAATGGAGGATGGGAGATTCTGGTTGTACTCCTCATCGATGGGCTCTTCTTTAATCTTCATGAGAGGTGATGAGAGAAACAGATTAGCTGCACATTTACAACAGAGCAGTCTGTGTGGAGAATTGTGATGACTCTAACTGCTGTATAATTCAGCATATCTACCCCCTCACTTGTACACACTACGTTCATATTGCTGCACAGTACATTCCCATCCATCGCTACAAAAAGTAGTAGAGACCATATTTATGCTGTGGCTGCTCAAATTGGACACGTGCCTTAAATTGGTGTACTTCAGTTATTATAGATAATACTCACACAGTCCAAATATGGTAGCGATGGCTTCACTTCTTTGATGTCATTTTCCTCAAGTAATGGCTTCACTTCTTTAATGTCGTTCTCTTCAAGCAATGGCTTCACTTCTTTAATGTCACTCTCTACAAGCAATGGCTTCACTTCTTTAATGTCGTTTTCTTCAAGCAATGGCTTCACCTCTTTAATGTTTATCTCTTCAACTGAGGATGCATCAGGTGTTGGGCTGTTCTTTCCTATAAAGACACAGTAAAAATGAGACAAATGATAATGCACAGTAGACAGGCAAAGCTCATATATTTTTTCTATAAATGCTAAATGTGCTAAATGGTTACAACCTACTTGTATTGAAAATAAAATGATAAAATATGAACTTCTCAGAACATTTTTGCAAAAAGGTTTCTCAATTCAGTCCAAAAGTATGTAGTATGTTATTAGCAATGCAAATAATGGCAGTGGAGAGAGTAGAAAAAAAATGACAGTGCAGCACCTGACACGGTGGAAGACTGAGCCTTGTGTACCATCAGACACCTGCTGCTACAGAAGAAATCCAACCTGCCCTCATCGTTTTTATTTTCTACCATGTCTGACAACTGATGGGACGTCTGGCACATGGGGCACAGCTGAGGTGTCTCAGTTTTCTGTAGGAATATAGAAAACAATGTGAGAAAGAGGGCAGAATCAGATGTGATATTTATAGAATGCTTACTACATATGAAGAGTTCATTTGCAAAAGCAGATTATTCCATTTTTATAAATTTTCAGGAAAAAAACAACTTTTTTCTAATATTATTTACTCCAGGTAATATCAATCAAACTAATGTTGGGTGACTTGTCATAATGTCACAATTCTGAAATTGTATCCGCCCATCTAAACACAAAATTAGGGAGAAAGACATCAGTCTTTAGTTAAGCAAAGCGTCTAAAGACTGACTTGTGAGTCTAATCAGTTCCTGCTGTTCTGAGATCGGTGGGGCAGAGGTGCCTGCTGCTCAGTGCACAAAACGGAGGTGAACGGTACGGCCCCTCTCTCCCTCAAAACTAATCAAATACACCATCAAATGACTTCAAAACGCTCTTGTGGAGAACTTGTACCTTACACATTCACCACGCTATGAAATAATAATGTAATATTACGAGACAGAGTTGTTTTGAAGCCAAATGCACAGCCGAACTACATTCCAGACATACAGTACTTGCTGGGCGGAGTGATTTCAAACAGCGTATGTTTAGTGCAGTTACTCCCGTCATCAAAACAAGTTTGTTGAGAAGAAGCCGACTGCTGATCATGGCGGACTTTCTGGTGGATGACGATGATGATTTCTTTTATATTAACCAAGACCCAGAACCTTCTTTATTTGAGACAGAATATACAGAGGAAGAGTTGCAGGTTTTGGAAGAAGAGAAAGCAAGAAGAGAGGCTGAGGCTGCCGAGCAACAAGGGGCTGAGGGGAGTGGCCACTGACAAAGTGGCCAGTGACTGTATGTTACATATATATATTGATGGTGGGATGGGACGAAAGTACGCCTCAAAATAATCACTGGAACACGGGGAGAACATGCTAACTCCACACTCATAAATCACAACTCCCGAGGGAACAACAACATAAAATGTTCCCTAGCAGTCTGTTTATTCCCAACAATGAGAAGTAATGCCAGTCACTTTATAGTCTCTATATAACGTTACAGACTCTACATTCAGTGTGTATGCATGTAGTTTGTAGGCAAACCCCGGAGAGAACCTCCGGAAGAAGAGCGGAAGAGCCCTGGTTTCCGGTTCTAGGCTGTTTATAGTCCGCGTGATATTGACCAATCACGTTTAAGCCGGCTGCAGTTGTTGCCAGGTTAAATGCTCCATGCGGTGAACTAACGAGGCGGAACATAATTGGCGTCACTGAAAACTCTGAATCCATCGCAATGGTTCAGCATATTTACTTATATATAAACAGAAGTCGGAAATCAGTGGCAGCTCCTGCCAAATTTCTCAGGGGGGGCAATTGTTGTGATGATGGCTGAGGTGACCCGTTCAATGGGTAAATTTGAATTAATTTGGCTCTACAATGACTGAACAATCCACTGTGGTCATCAACAGACTATTTTTCATTAGTTTGCTCACATAAATACCTTTGAATGTTAACAGAGACCTGTTTTACCATTAATCAAATAAAACTGAGTAAGGTATTCACTGAGTCATTGTCAGTCTTAATCAGAAAACATTTTATTATAGCTAAGTGGAAATTCATTTAGTGTTCTAATTAAATGCAGGCATACCCTACAACTTAATACAATGCACATCACATAGTATCACTGCTCTTTGACCTGACCTGAACGTTTTTTTGTTGTTGTTTTTCAGTTTCAGTTATATATTGGGGGGGCATTTTGGGCATTGGGGAACGTGTCCCCCTCAATGTATATGGTGACTACGGCCCTGTCAGCATACATAATTAGGCTGCAGTTGTCTGGGTGCGCAAAGGTGAAGTGGCTGGTCTTGTCATACAAAGTTTGATGGAGTGTCAACTGGACAATATGGAGATACTGGCATCTTGAAAGCCGGACTACAAATGTGGATAGACAGGGAGAAACACACGCAAGCATAAGACGTGGTAAGATACGATATTCCTCACTATATGAAGTGACTGATAACAAGATCTGTATAATGGATTTTGAAGAAATTCGTCAGGTTTTTATTTTGTAGACAATTGATCTGGATTTATAGCGTGATGGGATGACAGCACAATGATGTGTGTGATCACTGAAAAGCTCTGCTCCTGCGCTCCGGTTCCGCTGTTTCACGTGATGTGTGGCTTCTCGCTAATGGTCGCGGAGAATATCCATAGAGAAGAACGGGTGTGAATTTGGGCGCAGTATGCGTCGTTACGTTATAACCTATATGGTTAAAAAGCCTCTTGGATCAGCTGGAAACTTCAGCCATGTTGATCTTGGATGTGACCGCTGCGCAGTGGCGCTGCCTCATGTGATGTCGGAATAATCGGAAAAATGAGTTTCCGACCATAAAGCAATATTTCAGTGGAAACGGTTGACGACGTGTTTTTAAACATTTTGAGTGGTAAAATACAACACATCTTCTTTGTAATGTCCATGATGTCTCCACATTAGGACTTAAACGCTCATGAATACACAATGAAGTAAGAACGACTTCCCGACATGGGAAATCGGACCATCCGAGGAGCACATGAATTATACTTGGTGGTTTACGTATGACGAAAACACGTTGGGGCAAGCCCTCCCGGAACACATAGAGATTGCCTGCATTTAGAAAAAAAAAGCATTTTACATGGAAGTCTATGAGAGTGAGTCGGGGCGATTTCCAGCTAGGCTGATATCGCCCCAAAGGGCCGGAACGTGACTTCACACTGTGTCTGACTGAATATTCAGAGGCAGGATGAGCTGTTTCAAGTGAAAATGATCAGAATAATTAATATATTGTGTGTTTATATGACAATAATGATGATGATAATCATACATTTATTATCATCATCTTTCTTTTCTTTTGTGGCTCAAGGAGGGGCGGCACCCTATCGCCCTCTATTGGCCAGCCGCCCCTGTCGGAAATGGAAATTCACCTCCTCCGCCCAAATCAAACTGGAATGCCAAAAAATCGCAGAGGCTGTATCGCCGCCTGCCGGAAGTCAGACGCCGAATACAGCCGATGGGTTCCGAGAATGGTCCCTTCACTATGCTCTGGACAAGCACTTCTCCATAACATAACCACTACATTGGCATTTTAGTCTTAGTAACATTAGCCTACAACCCAGGCATAGTAAAGCCTGGGTTGTAGGCTAATGTTACTCAGTCAACAAGGAGGTAACGTTAACGTTACAGCAGAGAGATTGCTGAGCAAAATACACAACGATCACTTACCACGTCTGCTCGTTTTGTGATGCCGACAGATGGTATGGCAGTATCTTTCAAGAAAAGCGTTTGAACCATTCCTGAGCTTCTGCGCTCCATCCTTTCACTGTAGTCCTCCGGTAAAAAATGGTTGGAGCAAACAAACATTTTCCGGACCGTTTCCACAGGTGTGTTGGGATCGATGTCCAGCACAAATAGCCATTGTTTCATCCTGTCCGTATTTTTGGTTGGAACTACGTGAAACTTTACTCTGCTCCATGTCTTCGGCTTGTTACCGCAACCTTTTACAATACATGTGTAAACCATGATTTACAACAGCACTCTGTAAACTTTTCTCAAACTTTCTGGTGCGTCCAGCTGACGATACCGCAAATGCAAGGGTGCAAGCAATGACCATGGCACTGTCTCAGGTGGCACTGTATCACTCCGCCCAGTGGTTTACTCAAGAAAGTAGTTCCGAGTATTTGCTTCATGTGTCGTAATTTTACTTAATTATACATTATTATTTCATAGCGTGGGGAATGCGCAAGCCATGTGTTGTCCACTAGAGCGTTTTGGAGTCATTTGATGGTGTGTTTGATTAGCTTTGAGGGAGAGAGGGGGCTGTACCATTCACCTCCATTTTGTGCGCTGAGCAGCAGAGGGGTATTCCAGGTAGGAGGTTCAACAAACTCTGAGTCCAACCCTGAAGTCTGAGTTGATTTACCCTGAGATGGGAAACTCTGAGTTACCGGTTCCAGAACAGCTGATCTGAGTTAGTTCAGTCAACTCTGAGTATATTCACTCTGAGTTAAGCCAACAATAAAAAGCCATCATCAATGGAGCTCCGACTCCACGATTCATCATGGCAACAGGTAAATAAAAGACAGCGCCTCCATTTTAATCCAGTGGATGTAGAGATATTAATGCATGTGTAGCAGACTGTGCACGTTTATCTTTAAAAGAAGAGCCTGAGTCAGAGCGAGGTAAGTGTAAATAAGTTAACCATAAAGTTAATAAAAAAGTTTGATTCAGTGTTGTCCGTTTATTCATCATTTATCAGACTTACATTTCCTTAATGAAGATAAAGTGGTGGAATCTGACTGTGTATCAGGGTGTAGATACATTACATTATATTAATAATATATAATAATATATTTGTTCAGATTTAATCTGATGGGGAAAAACACAGGAGGCAGCAACTGAAAAATAGGAAGATTTAAAACATATAGGCTAGGCTATAGATCAAAGACATAAAGACATGACTATAAGCTCACAGTCTGACCCAGTAATAATATGTTTGGTGATTTGCACTTGAAAAGACGTTGAGGTTAAAATACAGTAGATTTTAACATGTTGGACATATATTTGTATCTTGACTCAACAGCATTCAGTGACTTTATTTCAGATACAAATGTAGTAAATTTAAAAGACACTGAAATGCTGCACCATTACTCACTCAGAAATATTAACATATAATCCCCAATATTAGGCTATAGGAATTATGTTCCATCAGTGCGACCAATGACATCAGTGATGGAGATCATTTGTCACTGATACTACGTGTCTAAAGCTTCATACCGATTTTTAAAATTTAAATAATTAGACCTACACATTATGTGCAGTAAACATTTCGGAGCTGCTCTAACAGACTGACAGTCTGATGCTTGTGCACAGTGTTATAAAATATAATAAATATTAAAAGGACAGAGGTTTGATTCTAAGCTGAGGGTGAATTCTTGCTGTGTAATATTTGAATGTAAAGACAAAAACCGATGTCCAAAGAAATGATTGATGTGCAAAAATTCAGTACCTTAAGACAGTCCTGAGCAACAAACTAATATCCAGCAGGATTTAGATAGTGACAGACGGTAAATCTCCGCTAATTAATGCGCTTCGATACAAGCTTTGACACGGACTGAATGAATGAGGAAATGAAACAGTGTGTAAGAGGGAGGAGACAGAGAAAAACTCAGGGTTTATTGAAGAAAACCTGCCAGCGAGCAGGTTAGGTTCACAGACTCAGTTCACTCACTCTTTCTGGAACTGAAAACCCAGAGTTTCCCTCATTTCAAGGTTAACATAAACCCCCTTTCTGGAATACCCCTCAGGCAGCTCTAGCCCACCGATCTCAAAACAGCAGGCACTGACAATTAAAAGTAATGTACCTACTCATATGACTATAGGGATTACGGCAATAGGCAAATTTGCCAAAATGTCGAACTATCCCTTTAAGTAAGCTAGACAGTCATTGTTTATTATCCTTGTCCAATGGCTTGCCCTATCCTTGAAGGGCATCTGATATTTTTACTTCAACATCAACACCAAACTCCCTGTTTTGTCTTCATTACCTGTTCCTAAATATTTACTGTCCTGGTCTAATAAAGTGATTGTGATTTTGAAATTTGATTTCTTCACCTCTTTGAACATGACCAGACATTCTTCACTGCAGATGATTTGACTGTCGTCCTTCGTCCCCACCATGAACTGTTCATTGTGGCTAACACAGCCGCAGACGTCACAAACAGACACAGGCAAGTTGTTGATTCTGTGGTAGTTGATGAAGCAAGCCTCACTGCAAATACTATGGAGCTCGCCATCCAGGGTCAGCTGGAATTTACACTGAGAATGACAAAGCAGCATGTGGATTAATCATATTACAGTGACTCAAATTATCTAAAGGATAAGGCTAATGGTATTCTTCATTTTCATGTTTTCAAAATATCCCATAAAAAGAACTGAATGAAATTATCCTTCTAACAAGTATAGCCTGATATAGCTTATTCCGTCACTGCTGTCAAAACTTAACACTCTGCTTACCAGATAATTTTCATGCCGGGACATTTCTACAAAGATCTACTACTTACTGCAGGAACAATTCTGTGATTCTTTGAAGGAAGTCAAAGAACAACAGAAAACAAACCCAGCTATGGACACATTGGAAATTAATAATGAAGTCTTTTTTTTTTAATGAAAGTTATAAAACTATACTGTATATTTGCCAAAGACAGGGTAGGGAAGTCGGAAAGTGTTGACAGATAAGACAAAGGCCTTGTTAGTTTTATTCTTCTCATAGGATTTTTTGGCATTAAGAAAAATATAAAACAGCCTTTTCAGCCAATCTTATCCTTTAAATATCGTTTCAACATACAACTGCATAATCCCTTGTGATATGTAGTAAAAGCACTGACACCTAAAAATCTAACAAAAAGTGAGTGTCAATTTGTTCTTCCCTTACATCGCAAAATTTGCTGCACATCCTGCACTCTTTCTGAGGTACTGCTGGAGGTGGGAGTTTGGGGGGAACCATGGTCCTCTTAGAGTTGACTGAAGCGAGGCAGGTGTTGCTGCACAGTTCCTTCATAGTTCCTGAATCATCCACCGGAGCCAGGATCATGTTGTGAGGTCGCATTATCATCCTGAAGGACAGAGAAGAAGATTGTTTTCAGTTGTACATTGTGGACTAAGCAGTGACACAAAGATCTCATTTTTTCAATGATTGTTACCCTTAGTCTCTTGAATTTAATTTAATTGTGTCTTACTTAATTTAATTTAACTTGACCTGCACAATACTAAATGTCTAGAAAGTGTGTAAGAAAAACACGAACAGCCAGATCATCACAATGCTTGTTTTAGCAAAGAGGACACAGAAACTGTGTAAGAAGGAAAAGGAAGAATGGGGGAGGGAGAAAAGGGAGATGAAGAAAAAAAGAAGAGGAAGGAGAAAGAGGAGAATAAACAGAAGAAGAATGGGGGAGGACAATGAGAAGAATGAAAAGAAGAAGAAAGGAGAAGCAGGAGAAGGAGAAAGGGACAAGAAGGAGAGGGAAAACAAGAAGAGGAAGGAGAAAATGACAAAGGAGAAGAAGAAGAATGAGAAGAAGGGGAGAGGGAGAAAAGACAAAGGAAGAAGACGGAGAAAAAGAATGAGAAGAAAAAGTTTTAGGGCTGCATGTAACCATGTTTTTAATTGGCAAATGAAAAATGACAAACAATTAATCGGCAGTCAAAATAGTTGTGAATTATTTATCAGAACTGTTAGCTAAGCAGCTAATTGCATTTTTTTTCAGTAAAATCTTTCACAAGTGGAAAGAAGCACCAAAATTGGCACAAATACTCCTTGGGGGTTGCTCTTTTGATAAAACCCATTAGCCACGCAAAAATCAAGATGGCCACCATTTTTTTCCAAGATGGCCGGCAATTCAATCCCAGAAATGCTATTCTGGGAGCAACTTTGTGTAAAATTGTCCAATAAGTACAATCTTGATATCTAATCATACATTTTTGACCACAGAGAGGCCAGATTTATTGTATTGGAGAGGCCAAGAAGCTTCCTTCTACCATATTTCAGCCATTGAAAGAAAATATTATGCTTACTGATCTCTGGGCTGCTACACATGGTGTAGGGGAGAGTGGCTTAAGATGAGCCAGTGGGTAAGTTGACCCACACACCGTTTTTAAATTAGTTTATAACCATAACCCTAACCCACAACACAACCGTTCAGCCCGAGTTAGCTATATAGCTAATTTACATCTGCGGTCTCTGCGGCTTCTCTGCTACTGTGCAATCTGTTGTCATGTGACCATAAATTCACGAAGCACCCATCATTTCCATCTGGCTGTGATGGAGAGAAGTACATAGGAGAAGTGTAAGTATTTATTTACACAAGAAACTTTTTTGTTTGTCACAGTAACTTCTATGCTTGTCAGGTAATGACCATTAGCCTATGTCAAAGCAAAGTGAAGCAGAGTCGAGAAACTAGCGCGATCGCAAGTGACAGCAAAACACAGTTAAGACTCTCACACTGAGCTGAAATGAAGTGAGTGCGCATAAATTAACTACGTAACATGTTAGGGATGTTAAGCTCTTATTACTGTACTGCTATACTGTAATATCACACTGAAACCACGTTAACTGTGTGTTCACAGTAAAGGCGCAAACATACTCGGGCGCAACGTATGCGGAGCGGACTCCGTGTACGTTCCGCCCAGACTAAAAGCGGACGTCCGCAAGCCCTGTGTGCGCAAAACTCAGATTTTATGACCACGCGGACTCCGCTCCATGCACCAGTGTCACACATAAGACTGCTTGGCATGTATTTTTCACATCGACCTCCAATAAATGTGACACAGATCTGCATTTTGTATTTGCCGCCAGTGTTTATGTTCGTCAAGACTTCATATGTCCTTCACCAACATGGCAAACTGCCCTTCCTGGTCTCTTGTGGCATTTAGTGGCCTAACATACCACCGTCTCTAATGTAGTGTTTCACGGACATTTTTACAGGAAACTACAACACGGAAGTGTGCTCGACTACGGAAGCCCGAATGACTGCGGACATTCCTTGTGGAGTCCGCTCCGCTTATAGTACGCCCGAGTCTGTGAGCACCTTAATTCAGCACAAACTAGCTAGGCTAGCCAGTTTGCTACTTAGCAAGGCTAATTTCCATACCAGCTAACTACTGAAACAACTGTTTACTGGCATTACAGCGGTACAGTAAATACACTTTACATTAACCAGAAAGGGTAGGGGAAACACTGATGTTGGTGATTTGCCAGCTTATAAAATTATATGAATCATTTGGCTAACCATTAGCCTGAATTGCCAAGCTAACCAAATAGGTGGCTATGGGGCAAAGTGAGCCAATCGCTGTGGGGTAAATTGAGCCCATGGTTGAACTTGACCTTCCTTAAGGCATTGAAGTTAAGTCTCTGAAGTATGAAATGGTAACCCTGGCGAATGTAGTCAGAAGTCAAGCCACATGAACACAATCACACACCTCCACATTGTTTTAACAGACTTAGTTTCCAGATAAACAAACTTAAAACGTTAGGCTGGCCAGTAATGAGACTCACCAGTGCAGGGCAGACGCAGCAGCAGCAACGGAGAGAGACTGAGTCAGACTACGCAGTACACAGCCAAGCACTGAATGATTCGGTGAACGAATCTTTTGAACAAATCTTTTTAATGAACTGACTCTAGTGATTCAGTAACATCTACAGAACTGCTTTGCCCATCACTAGTACATTTCTAATAAACGTTTTGCTGGAATAATGTTGTGTTTATGGATATTTTGTACATTACTTTAAAAATATTCTGAGTAAATGGCATAAAGAGATATAAAAAGGATTTCTGATGTATAAATTTGAATTTTCCATAGTTAAAAACCTATCATTTGACACCAGAATCATTGAAATTGGCCCTGAAAATGAAGTTCTGTCGTAAAAGATGGTTGAAATGGCTGCCATCTTTAAAAATGGCAGCCATTTTGAAATTTACGTGGCTAATGGGATTTTTCAAAAGAATGACCCAAGAGGTACACTCAGTCAAATTTTGGTGCTTCTTTCCAGATTTGAAAGATTTTTTTTGCTTATCTGCTCAGCTTTGTTGAACTGTGTTAAAAAACGTGCATGTTATTATTTAAATTTTAGATTGATTCTCCCTTTAGTACAAATGAACACACCAAACAAAGCAAACATACAGGCACAGAAGAGCATGGAGAAAAATATCCTGGACTTACTGGAAGCAGTTGTAGCAGGTTTTTGTGCCTAATTTGATGTGGGGTTGCCTTTCAAAGAGGCATACGGTCGAGCAGAAGACCTCTTGTGAGCTCTTCAGCTTGTACACTGTGCCTCCTCTCGGCACACTCTTTTCACAGGTACAACAGGTTTTGCTTAATTTTGAACTTGCAATGACGAGTGTCGCCGTAGTGTCTGATACAGCAGCTGCAGATGCATCATTTTTGTTTACAGTGGAGTCTGCGCTGAACTCCACTTCCTCCTGTGGGATGATGCGCAGTTATGGTACAGTGATCAGAAGCTGTCCTTTGACTTCAATGCAACCCTGCTTAGATTGATTTAAAACATTCTATCAAGTAAGCAAATACTACGTCTGCTTTACATAGCCCTAATGTGGAGCAGAGTTAACTCACATCTTCATCAGAATCAGAATAAGGCTGATTGCCAGGTGTGCACTCACAATAAATGTGCCTTTGGTACACACAATAAACATAATAAGAGGAAATAAAGACATTCATATTTTTATTATCACACCATGAAATGTAATTATTATTGTATTAAATATACTCACAAAATTCAGTCCTTGTTTTGATTGTTTGCTTCTTCTCCACTTTTTCAAACCATCTGAGCTTTTTTCCTCTGAAAAGAGAAATCAGAAACATGCGATTAAGTTTACTACAAATACAGGTATTGTACTACACTAATTATTCAGCATTTACAGGCATGATATAAACATTAAATATATGGTTTCTAACACCCTATAAAGTAGCTTTAAACAAATTTAAGGACATTTTAAGAGTTTATCTATGTATAAAAATGATAACTTCTTATAGGAAGACATATTTATGGGGAGGGGATTATAAGTTTGGTCGTGTGTGTAAGTAGGTCGCATAGTTATATTGCTTCTTACAGCAAACCACACACACCACCCTTATGTTTTTTAATGCAGTGCTATTTTCAGTCTGAATAAAGAGTCGGAGAGAGAGGAGTAAAAAGAGGTGAATGGGGATCAAGACAAAATGCCTTTTTGACAAACTTATTGTCCAGTACCTTGAGGCCTGTTTCCAGTTACAGGACATAGCTTGTATGACGTCACACAGTACCGGTTGCAGAAGAGCTCCACCACTTTATCATCAGTTGTGTATTCACTCATCTCTGACACTGGCCGCAATGCCTTGCACAGGGTGCATTGATGGGATGTCTTGGTTTTCTGCAGAATAACAGAAAAAGAAAACAGATTATCAGGGATGTTGCAGGAGAACAATTTTATTCACTAAAACTTTTCATCAGCGCCTCAGTGCCTTGCTTTGGGCTCCTTAGGTCCAATCAATGGGAAATCTTAGTGCTACAGCACACAGTTACATTTTCCAGACAATAATGGGCTTTCGTTGTACAAAGCCAGGTCTGAGTTTTCAAGTTCGGTGTTGAAGAGCTTGACTGGCCTGCACAGAGCCCTGACCAACACCTCTGGCAAGAACTGGACCACCGACTGCACTGCAACATCAGAGCCTGACCTCCCTAACGCTCTTGTGGCTCAATGGTCGCAAATCCCTGCAGCCAGGTTCCAACATCTGGAGGAAAACCCTCAAGCAAGACTGGAGGCTGTCACAGCAGCAGCTTAATGTCCATGGTTATGTTCATCAATCACGCATGCATATTTAATATACTTTATCATTAAAAGGATAAGGCTGGCGATAGTGTTTTGCTTATTTTCAAACTGTCTGATTTCATGCTCTTTTTTTGTTCCAAGATGATAAGTTAATATATTTATCACAGAACAAGAAAGGGTTATTGTCAGCCTTGATAATCTAATAAACAGTAATTTTCCCAGGCCAGTCACTAGAAGAAAATGTTGGCAATGTGCATTTCTGCAAAACACAGATACACTACATTTGTAGGTTTACTTCATGTCATATCAAAGTTTCTAAATTAACATGGTATATGTGCAGACTTTGTCAGCTAGAGGTGGAGGGCATGGTGGATTGTGTGACACCTATGGTGAGACACCTGTGCACTTGGGCAATTTAAAGCCAAAACATATGTGTCTCATCATAACCACGTGGCTTTTGTGCCTAAACCTAACTACATGGCCAACACAGCGTTACTGAAATGTGAAGTTTCAACTATCTGTTGCAGTAATGTACAAATGTAACGTATCCACTGTCTTTTCTTTTCCTCTGAGGTTACCTGCAGGTAGAAATGGGCGGAGCCATCAACTTGATCATTTCCACCTGGGCATGCTGGGTCTAGGTTATTTAGACTGGCCCTGCGTTCCAATACCCATACTACCATACTATTTAGTATGCCAGAAAAAGAATTAGTGTGTCCCAATACATAGTATGTCAGATGCAGTATGCCAAAAGTACCAGGATGTTCTGCTACATCCGGTCATATTTCGCAGTATGCATGTCAGCATGCTTCTTTGGCCATTCTGACCCACAATCCTTCGCGCAGCGGAAGTTACGTCACACTGACTGAGCTGCGTGTACAACCAACGCCCACACTTCCTTTCATACATGGTTTATTTAATTTGAGATACTAAGACACTACATATTAGGACTGCAATGATCTGATTATATACTGTCACATATCATACAGTTTTGCAAGAACACAGTTACAACATTCAACTTTATTGTGATTATAGTATAATCAGTGTTAGGGTTCAACTATGACTACAATATAGAAGATTCTACCAGTATAGGCAGTGGGGTAAGTGTGGTATAAATAATGAATGCATATGACTAAATATGAATACACTATGGGCCAGGTATGAGCAGTATAGACTAGTAAATATATAAATAGTAAAAGTCAAATACATATTAAGTAATGTAGTAAGAATGTGCAGGTATGTTACACTACAAATAAAAGTAATGTGAATGTAAGGCTGCTTCACGTGCAGACAGAATATAGTGCCAGCAGCTGCATAGCTGTAAATATATTCAACATCAAACATCTGCCAGCAACAGAGAGCTATGTGTGAAGGGGGTTAATGTGCCTACTGGTGACTAGTTCAGTAGACAGGTCACTAATAATAGGCTTGGGACTGTTTACGTGAACACATCAGTTTATTAGAAACAACAACATATATTACGACATAACAGCAACAGAGCTCTCCGGCACCTCCGACGGTATGCACGACTCTGGCGGGCTCGACGAGAGGAGATTGGCTGCATCTCCGAAGTACAACAAAACAAAATATTCAAATGTGGCGCTACGGACGGCGGCGGAGGTGAGCAAGAGGGTCGGAGTTCAGGGTGGATGTGATGGCGGATGTAGTGTGTCCCAATAGTATGCATACTGCATGCATACTGCATACTACGCTACATACTTTTTAAGGGCAGCTGCAGTACATACTAAAAGTATATAGTAGAAGTATGCGATTTGGAACGCAGGGTGGGTCTTCATTCTGTCTCCCTCATTTTCGCCATCATCATCATCTACCCTTTTGGTTTGGTTCTTATTTGTTTTGCATCCACAACACCACACATACATCCCACATTACAAACACTACTGACTTACAGACTACAGATGCATTTATCATCTCTTCAGGGGCTGGTGATATTTTAGATTTTTGTTATTGTCCACAAATCCCATCAGAAGACCAAAACTAACAATAAATGTGTCCTAATACTCCCCCCACATAGTCCTGATGTGTGAAGTGGTCACTGCACACACGCAGGTCATGAGCCCTGGCCATGAGCACTGTGGTAACTTTTGGATCGAAAAGAGGGTTCTTGATGGCCTCCAGCCAATCGCAGCAAAGAAGCGGATCGGACGGGAAAAAGTGAAATTTTTGCTGGATAGATAATCTTGAGGTGCGGCCATTTCCACAACCCGGCACAGAGCACTTCATGTCCAGACACTGACCTCGCAGAGAGATAGTTTGTATAGCAGACTCGCCTCCCTTACAGCAGCAGCACAGGAGTCAGTCCTACAGATGTGCACCGCCTGTCACCCAAGTTAAGTCAGCCGCTGTTTAGAATGCGTTGCTCGTCTACTCCTGAAATTACGGTACAGGTGCTGCGAGCAATCAAAAAGCACTAACAGAAAAGCGAACGCCACCAAACTCTGAACCATCTATAATACTAATACTATTTCATATAATTCTGGGGCCTTTCTATATTAACTACTTTCACTTTTAATACTTCAACACATTTACCTGATTAAATACTTTTTTCAATGCAGCGCTTTTACTTGAAATGGAGTATTGTCAGAGTGTGGTATTGACACTTTTACTACGGATCTGACGCTTCCTACACGACTTTAATTTACACATTACACTTTATATGTGACGTAGACCTCGTCTTACGCTCCATCGGTCAGATGAAGTTCGGCCATTGCAATTTTTACGGAGCTATTTAAGGACAAAACAATCGCTCAACGTTCACTTAATGGACCTCGAAGTGAGATTTGTTTACTGCTGTTTTTGAAATAATATTTGACATTTATCGTGTTGAAAATGTGACAATATGTTGCCAAACAAACCCAGATTTGTTTATCGGCTCTGAACGCCAATAGATTCCAGCAGTTTGCCAGCTACGTAACCTCCGTAAACGCCCCTTTCTACGCAGCCTCGTTGGCGCAGTAGGCAGCGCGTCAGTCTCATAATCTGAAGGTCGTGAGTTCGAGCCTCACACGGGGCACATGTTTTTTGACCTACAGCGACCGCAAAAAAAAATATCACACTAAAAATATATAAAGCGAATATGCGGTAAAGACCTTTAGAAAATGGCAACATAAAAATTCTACAGAAGCCCCTCTGTGTTAGCTGTTGGACTGTTTGTTAATGTAGTAGCTGACAGGAATTGAACAGGTACCAAAGCTGTTGCCCTAGCAAGAGAACAGCAATGAAACAGTGTACAGCACTATACTATTCCTACTCAGTGAGCCATTATAACAAATATACACATTTGTCATTATTTGAACAAATGTGTATATTTTTGAGCTGAAATTTGAGCAAACCTTTGAAATTAAAAAAACATTCCCTGAACCCACTCTAAGCCACTCTTGTGTAGCAATATAAGGAAACATGAAAAAAAAAAAATCATCCCCACTGTTATTATAATCACAACATATACGGTGTAATCTCCAGCCCTCAGACATGGCTCTGCTCATGACTTCCAACACCAACCTGCAGACTTTCAGGGAAATCTGTAACACTGCAATAATGGAATCTTTGCAATCTTCAAAAAAAAAAACCTCCTGAAAACCCACCAGTTCACCAAGGCCTATAGACTCAGTCAATCCTGTTACACTGCACACACTAATTTTTGTTTGTGCGTTATTTGTTCTACATTCATAAATGTAAAGCAATCTTGGGTACCTTGAAAGGTGCTACAACCTTTTGAGCCACTATTAATAATATTATTACTATCATGTAAGACCAATACCAAAATCAGTGTGTCATCTGATAACTTTGTGTTTTAGATGAACACAAACATATTACATATTGACGTGGAGGTAAGTTGATCTAATTATTGTATTTGATTTTATTAAAAGATAAAGAAATTGTCAGGGTATTACAATGTGTACTTACATTTCAGGTGACTTTAACTGCTCCTACTTTAGAATGGTGGATCAGAATAAGTTAATGTATCATAACTTCAACAAGATATACTATGTCATCTATAATTGGAGCTCAAAGGCTTGTACCTAGTCTTTCTTAAGTTTGTGACTGGTTACTCTCAGTGCCTGTATCATAACTGCACCAACAGAGGTGCAACAGATTCTGAACAGCAGCTGGCCTGACCATGACACCCTTGGTACCACAAATACTCACTAGCACACCCAAATGTGCATTAATCTGTGGCTGAAAATAGTCCCCAACAAATGCACTGTTTAATCCTGCCCCAGTAACTCCTCCTGTTTGAGGGAGCTAAAACCCACAATGACCCACTTCTGGTCGGATGAGTGCTGCACATCGTTGGGTTTGGTCTTTCTAAGGAATCTGTTGACACTGACAAAAATACAGAGAACCCCAGCTTTCTATTTTGGGAATATTTCACCTTATCCCCAAATCATTATTGCGCTAATTAGTATTATAAAGCTATTATAATCTACATTTTTATACATATTACTAGTTTTTGATTTCTGGTACATTGCAGGAGAATTAAAGCAACTATAGTGGAACAAAACCAAATATGATTAAACTATGCAAAATATCTATTTGACAGGCTCTGTTTATTAATGAGCCTACCTTTTCTACACCTCCAGCTATACTGCTGACCGTGCTGCCTGAGCATTTAAATACAGGGTTCCCACACCTTCTCGATCATCAAATTCAAGGACTTTTCGAGGGCTTTCCAGGCCCAATACCATTAATTCAAGGGACCACTATGGCATAGTCTGAGACACGAATCAATGTTAATGACTGTTTTCAAAAACTTACAAAGTCTTGATTTGTTTTACCCTAAAAATCACAAACTTTCAAGGATTTCAAAGACCAGTGGGAACCCTGTATATAAAATGTCAAGCCCCCTGTCGTTTCTAGTAAACCATGATTTGCTCCAGGCTTGGACACTATATGATGGTTTTGAACCTTTACCGTCAATTCACCGTTAATCACTGTTTACCATTGCTTATTACTGAATTCTCCTCAATTATGCTAATAGGTGGTTGCCTGCTCACCTGCTGGCCCTGCAATGCCCCCCTGGTTGAGCCGTATGTGCGCAGGGCTATTTATGCCTAAATGGTCTAGTTATCGTTGTTCTTATCTAGTATTGTTTTTATTTGCACTATGGTCCCGCAACTGATCTAATATAATTTTAACTGGTTTACTGGTGTTTTTATTGACCTCTGTATTTATTTGTTTTATCTGCACTCACTTGCACTTTGAGATAGGCCAGTGCAACACCTGTAGTTCCCTTGTTTGTAACCTTACATACAAGGCAAATGGTTGCACTACTCTTGCACCAGTAGTCTGCAACTGTAACACACTCAGTGCACTCATGTTGGCAACTTGTCTGTGTTGATTGTATGTATGTATGTATGTATGTATGTATGTGAATATTTCAGCTGTTTGCACTATACTACCCAAGACGAATTTCCCCTGCGGCACAATAAAGTTGATCTTATCTTATCTTATCTTACTGTGTTCACATGTGATGCGTTATCCATGCTGTAATGTTTTCTCTTTGACAATTTAAGTGATCATAGTTATGATATTTTGGCACCTCTTTCAACTCGTCCAGGCATTTTTGGTTGCAGATGGATTTGGTCCCCTCCTTCAGCTTCAGCTTCAGTGGTTTAAGGCAGGTGGAGCTGCAGCTGTCACAGACAGACGTGTTCTTGCGTAAATCTTCCAAACATGAGTTGCTGCAGAACTTCAGGACAGCCTCATTTAGGGCGAACTCACATGTGGTCTGCAGAAGATAACGATGAAGAAGCGGTAAGTGCAACAAAGAGTTTCTGGTTAAAATGAATAGTTTTGTTGAAGAAACATTTATATTTGTTTTTTGCTTACGGTGCAGGATTTGTTGCACATGCTGCAGAGCTGCTGTGGTGTTTGGGTGGGCACAGTGTTGGACTTAAAAGACAATAGGCAGGTGGGACTGCAGAAGTCCTTCATAGTTCCCTTAACGTCCACTGCAGCCATGATGAGGTCCAGAGGCTGTGAGATTGCCCTGACGGGAAAAAGAAGATACAAAAAAAAACATTCAAAATGCAAATACTACAATATTACTTACTACTTCAAAGCTGGAGTGCCAGACTTTAACTAATAAATGAATGTCTGCTACATTCAAGCCCCCATAGCTCTCTGTATTACACAGTATACTTAAGTTATGGTGTTTGCAGCAACTTTCTTGCGCAGGCGCACCGGAAGCAAACAAGATTTTTTGGGCCTTTTTTGGCCGTTATTTGATAGTACAGTTGAAGATTGAGGAGCGATTGAGGAGACGACATGCAGCATTTGTCAAAAAACGAGTTCAGTGTCTGTTCAAAACGTGCCTGTTCCTATGCTGCAGGTTTAAGGATGAAGAGATGTTTTTCACGGACTCACTTGAGACAGTAATGACAGGTCTTGTTGACTGGTCTGTTAACGGGAAACATCTTGAAGAGGCAGTTTTTGGAGCAGAAGACGTCTGTGAATCCCTTCTTCTGGTAAGCTGTTTGGCCCTTCATCATGTTCAACTTGCAGTTGGAGCAGTTCATCAGCGTCTCCTGATATAAAAGATAGATAAAAGATAAATAACATGGATTAATGGTGTATCTTATATTGCTGAGTAAGTTATATATACAAACATAATCAACTGAAGTAAAAGCAAAACATTCATTGTGATGGAAATGGCAAAGCCAGTGCTGCCTATCCTAACTTTAATGTGACTAAAAATGTGACTAAATGCTTAAATAAATGCCATAATCACCTGATGAACAACAATACTTTATTAATGGGTAGAAGTCTGTTCCTCTACCTTTGCATTGTTGGGCTTGTCTTTGACGTTTGTGGATGACGAGGATTTTACATGCTGGTTGCTGTTGGTTGTGATGGGCTGATCCTTCACTGATGTGACAGAGTTACACTCAGATGGTAACTGGGAAATGTGGACTGAACGCCGAAACTTATCCTTGGACAAAATAAAAAAACAAAACAGTCACTAGGGAAAACATAAAGCCTGTTTAACACACGATTACAATTTGTTAGGATGGAAAATATACTATTGTTGAGACATTTTATTATTATGCTCTTGACATTTGTAATTTTGCAATGCATAAACCAGACATAAAATAAATAAACAAACATAAAGATAAAAATGAGCATTGTCACATCAGCCATTAAACAGTAGCAGAGTGATCTAGTTGCCAAAATGTATAAAGAAAGTTTTAATCTATACTTTGAGAAAATTGGAAACTGACTGAAACATGATACTCACAATGTCCAGTTTTGGGATTAATATCTTCACCTCTTTCATTCTGGGCATTGGAGCTGATGATTTGTTCTTCTTTTCTAAAAAAAAAAAAAAACAAATATGGGGGTAAAACCATGTTTTTGCTACACACTTTACATACTGCACTGAAGTTTTGTACAGATATTCATGATCCCTAGTGGATGAAGCCTATTGACTTGGTGGTACGTGAGCGCCCTCTAGTGGTATATGGAGGAATCTCCAAAATATATATATTTTTTAATTCAGTACATTTTTTAAATATATATAATGCTATTAAAATACTACAACATAATAATTTTGCATCATTTGAGCAGCTGAGATTAAAATATGAAATCCCCAACTCACACTTCTTCAAGTATCTGCAACTTCGCAACTTTGTATCCTCACAATCAGCTCAATTTCCATCGATACCCCCCAGCTCTCTCCTTAATTCTCTTTCACAGTTTAGCTCCGACCATAAAGGGCTTATTGGAAAAATCTACGTCACTCAATTCTCACAATCTAGAAACTTTGACACATTTAAAAAGCCAATGGGAAGAAGAATTAGACATCGAACTTACTGAGGATATATGGGACTCCACATTAGATAGGATACATTCATCTTCAATTTGCTTAAGACATAAGGTATTACAGTTCAAGATTGTACATAGGTTACATTGGTCTAAAGTGAGATTGGCAAAAATAACACCAAATATTGACCTTAACTGTGACCGCTGTGGAACAGCAACAGCTACTTTATCACATATGTTCTGGTTTTGCCCAAAATTAACAGAGTTTTGGCAACTTATATTCAAATTCTTTTCTGACTTGCTAGGAATACCCATAGAACCTCTTGCCATAATAGCAATATTTGGTGTAGCACCGCAGGATTTATGCCCACTCGACAAGGCAAAAACATGATGGCCTTTGCTATGCTACTGGCTAGAAGACTCATATTGCTTAAATGGAAAGACAAATCTCCTTCAACCTTCAATCAATGGATCAGGGATCTTCTGCACCATCTGACTTTAGAAAAAATCCGCTATGCCACAAGAGGCTGTGCCCTCAACTTCTATGCTATATGGCAACCAGTGCTAGATCATGTTGAAAAGATAGATGCCTCAGACATTTTAAATGTATAGATATAACCCCTTCTTCTTTTTACTATCCTTTTATTTTTATTTGTGTATGTTTTTGTTTGTTAACTTGATTTGCGGATGTTTGTGTATGTGTGTGTGCATTTTCTTTTCTTTCTTTCTTTTTTTTTTTTCCCTTCCTTTAAATCATGTACATTTACTGACTCTTGGTGGTGCAGTGGGGTGGGGTTGTTTGTGGGGTGGGATTGTATTGAAACGTATATCAAATTGTATTTTTTATAACTTAAAAAAAACTAATAAAAAACAGACATGAGGACAAAAAAAAAATACTACAACATTTGGAGTGAAAATAGTTGAACTATGTGGTCCCTGAAATGTAAGTTAGTCTGCCATTCCTGTAATATAGTCAAGTAATCAAGCTCATGAACGTAGTCAGAGCATACATCCTTGACAAGTTACGAGCTAAACTGGCCTTTGTGGTATAACAGAATAGTGTGGAAGAGTTTAAGTCCCAGTTTTAGTGCTACTTCTATATATGACGCTGGTGTTGGTGACAACAGTCAATAATAAATAATCTTCTGATTAGGAATAAAGCTGCCTCCTGTGTGAGCTACTGTATTTGAACATCAGTCATGGCGGTGGAACTTAGAGAGTATATTATTTTATGAGATTGTATGCGATGTAAAAAGTTTGAGAACAACCACTCTAGAGCAACCAAATTTATTTTAAGCCCAGTTCGGACCAAGGATTTGCAACGAGATCAGTTGAAACTTGCAACTTGCAATGCGCTGGTCTACAACATTCTGAGGACAGAAAGTTTCTATCAACGCGATTAGACAAGACAGTGCATCATCTCCACAGGAACAACTCTCTGTACTTCTCTTCTGATTTCCAGCCTTTCAGGTTTATTTTGTAGCTTCTTAAAATATGAATGAGGATAGTGATTGTGAGATACTTGCTACGGTTACAGCACTAGTAGGCTAGTGATGAAACAGCAAAAACAAAAAGAAAACAGCCTGAGCCTCAGATGTACTGTAGTCATAATACATGCACCACCACAATAATTAAAATAACCAACGCCAAGTAATCGGTCAATGAGTATGTGTGTGTGTGATGTGCACACATACAGTGACCAGCAGCAGCGACCCACCGTCTGACACCAACAAGCCATGAGGATGGAGACATATGTGTCATCAGCCACGGGGATGTAAATGAAGTGGACTCAGGCTCGGCAAGGACTAAGGCTTGTTGTCAGAGAATGCAGCAATGTTGCCACAGCAAGCTAACACACCATCTGCTGATAGTTTGTAACTGACTTGGCCAAGCTAATTGGCTGTTAAAGCAGGTGGCATGCCTTGTGTTCTAAAACCAGCCACTGGCGACCTGAAAAGCTATGTTGCAGGTGACACCATCTGCTAGTTTGAGTCGAGCTGAGGTGGACCAGTTCACACCGCTGCAGCTCCCACTGCAATGTTCTTAAACTGTTTTGCCACGTCGTGAATCTTTGGTCTGAACTGGACTTTACCTGTATTTAAGATGTCAGAGGATCTCCTATCCACATCCCTCCAATCAAACTCACCTCCTTTCTTTTGATCTTCTCTCTCATGGTTCACTGCATCAGTTTCCATGGTCTCGTCAAGTTCCGCAACACTGGACTGCTTGTTAGCTTGTTTTTTCACATGTGGTATCAAAGGTGTTGAGCCATTTGTGTCACCATCTTGATCATTTTCCTTATTTCCAACCATGTCGTCATCGGTGTCTATGTCAATGTCAAAGTCCACATTCATGTCCTCGTCATCATCACTGAAAGAAATGTTTGTACTGTCCCCATTCTTGCGAGGAACTGTTACTTCAGGTGTGTTGACGTCACAGCCCGCAGGTATTTCCTCTGATCTGTCACCCTGCTCTGTGTTTACCTTTTCATTTCTCTCATCACTCAGCTCAGATGGCTTGTTTTCACTCTCCCGCTTCTTGCTCTGGCCTTGGCTAGGTGTCTTCTTCGATAAGGAACCTCTACTGCGTTTCTTTTTTGCTGAAGAGGAGCCTTTAGTGAAGGAGACACCTACAGGAGATACAGGTAGAGCTGTGTGAGAAGACTATCAACACTTATCTTGTTCATTATTTACTTCTATTTTAACACTTGATGTACATTCAGATGGAGACTTAAAAATTCACCAAGGTTCACCAAGGGAGTGTTATTATTGTTAGGATGTTTATTATTATTCTCTGCCTTGTAGCAGATTTTTAGTGGTATTTCAATATAATTAATAAAGCTATTAAGAGGAGTGAACAAAATTTCAAAGACTGCTGAGTTAATTCCGATTCACCTCCTTGAATAAAGCTCTGTAATGTGTCAAGTACGATGCAAGTGATTCCCCTTTATCTCAGTGAGTTGATCATAGCTAAAAATGTATGTGCTCATAACTGCAAAGTATTTTAGATATAAATATCTATATGTCAGGGCTTGGTTATGGCATTAAAGTAATTTGTTATGTCCTATATTCTTTGCTTATGGCTCCCACTCTTAAGTACAGTGCACTTATTAGATAAAATATATAAATTATTTTGCTCGGTTTTAGTGTGAAGTTCATAGAAATAACAGTCCTCCTGTTTTGTGTAATAAAAAAGAAATACACCCAAAAACATTGTTCAAAAACAAAATGCTGACAATGTTAATTTGTTGTTTTAAAGTGAATCTTTCTCACTCCTGTGGGTAATGGAATTAAATTGATTTTGAAGTAATAATCTTGAAGATTTTAATCTAAATAAATGTCTGTTAAGTTACTTTCTAATCTGACTGAGCCTATGGCCCACTGAGTATCTGTAAGTATTGCAATATTTATATATCAGCAATAATACGAAACGTGTGTCAAGAGCAAAACTTGTGGAAACAATGCTGTAATAAGATACTGCAAATGCAAACCGAACATTTTTCAACTGCTTTAGCTTCACATTAGAAGCATTTAACTGACATAACACGCTTTGACTTTTATTATGAAGTAATCACAGAAAATATGTTTTCATTGAGCTTAGAGCTTACTGCTATCGTTCATCAAAAATCTGTCTCCAAAACAAGACAAGAGCCATTTTCAGCATTTTTTGACAATTTGTTTGAAATATTGCAGAGAGCAATGGACAAAGGGGCACAGCTACAGTGAGCTGGTGGAGGAAGAGCATCAGGCGACAGGCTGCACACCCCCAACTTGGCAAAGTAACCAAGTCACCTGACTCCAATATTAACCTGTAAATAGTTGGGCTCCCATCAAATTATATAATCGGCAGAAGATAATACGAATTTATGTGCTTTTCCATCTACTACTGTTAAGTGAACATTAGGCTTTGTTGCATCAAGGTAAGCAGTAAGTGGCGCTAATTCTCCAGTCAGGCACCACAGCAGGCGAGGGTGCAACGAGATAACCTAGTTGAAAGATCCCCAGTCAAATCTCTCACATGAAGGAAAACAATGTATGTATAATAATGGAAAGCACAGAGGACAATCAAAAAATAGAGTTTGAAACAACTAAGATTATAGTTATGTGCTCTAGGAAAAGTTCTTACAGCCCTGTGTGCATAAGTGTATTAAAAGCAATCTAGAGATAATGAAGAGAGCTTTAGTGGCCTATGAATTAATGATACCTCATGGCTGTATGCCATCATTTATTCACTGCTTGTTTCTGTTACACTTAATCAATTTCACCAACTTTTCCACTTCCCCCAAGCGTAAAATTCTTTTAGCAATATTTCAAGATTTTTTTAAATTTTTTAATGTCTCCATTCAAGTTTTTTAAGCGCAAACTGAAAATGCAGATTAAGAGAGATGGACAGAAATGTCCCTACGGACTTGCCTACAAACCCTTTGTTCATACTTAATCTATTGCTGCATTAAAATCACTGTTTTTGAAAGTTAAAGTAATTTAAGCATATGAATACTTTGTTCAGATTTAACCTCTAAATCAGATAAATCTGATTCTTATTTTCTAATTGGCTGTTAAAGCAGGTGGCATGCCTTGTGTTCTAAAACCAGCCACTGGCGACCTGAAAAGCTATGTTGCAGGTGACACCTTCTGCTAGTTTGAGTCGAGCTGAGGTGGACCAGTTCACACCGCTGCAGCTCCCTCTGCGACGTTCTTAAACTGTTTTGCCACGTCGTGAATCTTTGGTCTGAACTGGACTTTACCTGTATTTAAGATGTCAGAGGATCTCCTATCCACATCCCTCCAATCAAACTCACCTCCTTTCTTTTGATCTTCTCTCTCATGGTTCACTGCATCAGTTTCCATGGTCTCGTCAAGGTCCGCAACACTGGACTGCTTGTTAGCTTGTTTTTTCACATGTGGCATTAAAGGTGTTGAGCCATTTGTGTCACCATCTTGATCATTTTCCTTATTTCCAACCATGTCGTCATCGGTGTCTATGTCAATGTCAAAGTCCACATTCATGTCCTCGTCGTCATCACTGAAAGAAATGTTTGTACTGTCCCCATTCTTGCGAGGAACTGTTACTTCAGGTATGTTGACGTCACAGCTTGCAGGTATTTCCTCTGATCTGTCACCCTGCTCTGTATTCACCTTTTCATTTCTCTCATCACTCTGCTCAGATGGCTTGTTTTCACTCTCCCGCTTCTTGCTCCGGCCTTGGCTAGGTGTCTTCTTCAATAAGGAACCTCTACTGCGTTTCTTTTTTGCTGAAGAGGAGCCTTTAGTGAAGGAGACACCTACAGGAGATACAGGTAGAGCTGTGTGAAGATTATCAACACTTATCTTGTTCATTATTTACTTTTAATCTAACACTTGATGTACATTCTACCAACTCTTTGTTCATACTTAATCTATTGCTGCAATAAAATCACTATTTTTGAAAGTTAAATTAATTTAAGCATGAGAATACTTGTGTTGTGATGCCTATAACCAGCCTTAATGCCACTAAATATTTCTACATGGAAAACTTCTCTGAAAGAATGTATGATTCAGATCAATGGGTAGTTTGTGTCTAACACATACCGCTCAGAAGAGAATTCTCTGATTCTTCATTATCACTGTTTTCGGGGTCGGCAAGCTCCACATCTGGCTCCAATTCATCTTCAAAGAAAAGCAAGATATTGTATACATTTGTAGTAACAATGCACTGAATGACATGGTTTCAATCAATATAAAGACTTTAATATAAAAACTTAAAGAGTTAATGTTGCTTATTTAATAAAAAATTAAATTAGATTTGTAAAGGCTATGTCTTCCAAAATGTCCTTTTATTTGCAGGTTAGACTTTCTGTGAAGCTACATTGTGGGGTTGATGGTAATGTACCACGGAAACACAGTGATGTGCCAGTGAGAGGCAGAGAAGAAGACGACCACTACAAACTAACCATGGAAGGAAACATCACAGGTTTAAACATGTTTAAAAAAACGTTTTGAGGAAGGAATTGCAGTCAACTTGTTTCTTAGACCTAAATGAACCTGTTTATACCTGGTATTAGCATGCGTCTTGGGTGATCCAATCACAAGTGGACATCCCTAAATACAAGTGTAAATGACCACTAAGGTGCAATGAGATCTGAGCAGTCAAGCCAAGGTGGACTGGGATGCATTTAACCACATATCCTTTGTAGTGTAAACGTGTATGCTTCCTGATGCAGCCCCAACAAGAACTACGTCATCAATGCAGGATGTGGGGGTTGTTGGTGACACCGTGCAAATGCTTTATAACATGACGCATTCACAAAGATTTCATTCATATTTCCAGCTGTACTGTCACAAGCGCTAACTTGACTAGCAAGCAGCTAGCAAGAGTGTGGACGTAATAACCATGCATGGGTCCCTTTGACCTAGCGTAAGTGACATAGCCAGTAATGAAATCTGGACACAACTGGTTCAGCTGGAACAAGTGGTAACCTCCAAGGCTGAAAATTGAAGCCACCATCGAGTTGCCAAAAACTGCAGTTCCTCTAATGGCCACTTGAGGCTGGCTCCAAAACAGAGTCAATCTCCATGGCCCCCAGTGTTAAAATGCTCAACTGTATAGTAGAAATAAACATGTTTACAGTCTGGTAGAAACAACAAGAGGGGTCAAGGGGCCATCTCCAGCTCAGTGTACGCCCCATATAGGCTGAGCCTTCTGCAGCGGCGTGGGTTTGATTTCAGCATGAGGCCCTTTGCTGCACATCATCCCTATCTGAACTGGCCTATCATAAGAGGCAAAATTCAACAAAAATAATCGAAAAAGAATAAACAGTTTTGGTCTTGACAGCTACTTTTCACATTCATGACAACTGTACTGTAAATATGGTCACTTTTGGCTCTAACATAACAAGATGACAATGGCCAAAATGCCGAACTTGAGGCTTCAAAACAGCAGTGCACAAATGGGTGATGCCACAGTAGCTATGTCCATTTTTTCATCAAGTCCATGCTGGATAGGCATAATAGACACAGGTGTGAACAGTGATGTGTATCTGCTGTCCCCTGGGGTTTGGATCATCAAAATGCATGCGTTACCAGGTGGGTATAAACAGGCTAATTGATAAACACAATGCATTTTGTCAGCAACTCTGGATGTGTTTTACAAACAAAACTTTTGTTTGTAAAATATAAAGAGATAAATCTCCACATCAACACCGTAAAGGTCCAGTGTTTAGGATTTAGTGGCATCTAGCAGTGATGTGGCAGAAATGAAACTTCTCCCATGTGCCAAACATGTCAAAAAACTACGATGACCAAGATCAAAATGTGAATGGCACTATCTAGCTCTGCTCTGGGCTACTGTAGAACAACATGGTGGACTCTATAGGGGAGGACTTGCTCCATATGTAGATAGAAACTGCTCATTTTAAGGTAGCAAAACATGATTCTTATTTTCAGGTGATTATAAACTAATGAAAACATTGTTATGAATACTATATTCTATTTCTACCGATATTTCACCTTAAATCCTTCACACTGGACTTTAAGTGTTAAACTTGACACATACCTGAAATCTCAATTTCCTCAAGAGATTTCCCTTCGAATCTTTCAAAAGTTCCATTTTCCATTGCTGAGAGCAGCTCTAACATTTTTGCAATGTCAACAGCTGCCTCTGGCTTCTGATAATACTCTCTGTCGGTCTGAATTCTGGGGCCCAACAGTTTAGCGAGCTGACCAAGGTCGTCATTTGTGAGGCTAAGAATCTGGAAAAGTCTTACAATGGACGTTTTAAAAAACACAGACCGGAGGCTTGCCTTGTTCTTTGCACCACAGCGACCTGTGAAAGTGACAGCGCACACGTGTCCCTGAAAGTAGCTTGTACATTGGGCATCAGGTCTTGCAAATAAGAAAGGATTATTTTCATGCACACCACAAGCTTCTCTCTTGTTCACAAGCAGTGTTACTGCAGCGAGGAGTGTGGTTGTCAACGTTACAGCAACTTTTTGGCCGCTGTCGCTCATCAGGTTGATCTTCATAGTGTCCTTTGACAGAATTTGCTCAAACTGCGACTTGCTAACAGCAGCATCTTTGTGAAGCTCAGTCTCATCCCGTTCCTTAAATGACTTGAGGGTTGCTTTTGAAACTTCGGCTATATTTTTGTTGTAGACTGACATTTGCGCAAGTGTCACTCTGAGAAGCGCAGTATAGACCGGGGAGCTTTCATACATCGTCAGGCTTTTTGCTGCAGAAGCTGCTGTCTTCTCCGTGCACTGATAGAAAAGCTGCACATCATGTATGAATGGTACAGTTGGCAGGTTTTTTGCCTTTGGAGGGATGGATTTCCATTCTTTCGCACACAACTTTGTAAATGTCTCTGCTTCACGTATTGACTCTTTATCAGCTTCCTCTTTCAAAGCTCTGGCAAAGTTAATGTCACCAATTTTCTTCAGCAAATATCCCAATCTGAGCATTAAACTTGGACTGCCACTGGAGTTTGTCTCTTCACTGAAGCCAGAGAGTTCTCTCACTGCTTCAACAACTTTGCTGAAGTTTTGGGGTTTGATAGCATCTTCAAAGCTACCTATTGACCTTTTCTTTAATATTAACAGGAGTCGTCCCATTTGCCTCAGCCTGATTTTGACGAGTTCCTCTTTTTTTGTTTTGCTCTCATTGGTGTGGTACAAACACTGTGCCAGCTGCAGTAAAAGGGAATCTTTCTGGACTTCAGATGATATCTCATCGTTCTTCAGTGTGTTTAACATCTCCCTCACTTCTGATGAGATATTTTGAGGGTCTGTTGACTCTGCAACAGCAACCAAAGCTAAGACTTTAGTCTTGCCCCGTGGTGAAGGTTGTGTGAGCTTCTTTCTAGCACACCTTTGCATATGTCGGCACATCTCCTCACGAACGTACATGCCTTTACAATAAAGACAATGTGCAAATGTTTTTGCATTGTCGAGCCTGTCTAAATGTCTTCTTTTCACTTTCAGTTCTCCGCAGTTAGTCTTCAAAACCTCTTGATTATGTTTGTAATTTCCCCTGTCTCGTAACTTATCCAGTAGCCGTTTCCGTTCTTTGGAGTTTTTGCGCAGCTTCAAAACTTCAGCTATATCAGGCTCTTCATTTTTATGTTTGTAAAGATGACGAGAAATTTTAGACTGGGCTTTCCCACAAACGTAGCAGTAATTTCTGTTGGTGAATGAGGGGGCTCTGGGCTCTTCATCCGAGGTAAAATCACCAGAGCTATAATCAGTCTCGTCCTCCTCCTGGATGGATGAAGCATCAATGGGTTGCTGCTGAAAGCTCTGCTCTTTAGAGGAATTTGACTGTGTGAAACTCGGACACTGCTGGCTGTTGTTGCTAGTAGATGGTACATAGTCTTCATCACAGCAAGATGCTGCAGAACTGGAGGGTCCTGCTGAGTCCTCATCCTGTAATTGTGAACAAGTAATTTTACACTCTTAACATAACACAAAATAATACACACATGACAGACATTTTCAATTTTCTGACAGCATTTACCAATAGGGTATGAGAACCTCATAATCTCTCAACAAAGAGAGAGCTTGTTTTGTTCTCTTATCCGTCTCACTTTGAGGTAGATGAAAGAAATGTATGTTCCTATGCTGCTTTTCCAATCGTGTAATTTTAAGCCAGATTTCTGCTTGATACAAACAGGTTAACAAGAGTCCTTCTGCAGATATCTACCTGTGTGCCGTAAGTATTGATTTATAGTTCAGAGCCAGATTCAAATCACCACTGCAATATTACAAGGATACATTGCATATAACTATGCTGTATTGTGCTTTAATGTTTACATTATATGGATTGATGGTGGGTTAATACATATTTTTAGAGCTGGCTTTGCGAGATATGCATCAATAAAAGGTATAAGATAAATTAGCCCTTCTTCAACTTCCTTAACTTTGGACCAATCCCATTTCTTATGTTTACCACTACCTCTCATTTTCAGTGCTCGTTTGCCCCTAAAACAGAGTTGCAAGGGGTAGTGGCTAGAACCTTCCTCTGTGAAATGGGACTACCCTTCAAGACCCTAATATGTCATCAAAGGTCAAATGGCATTTATGTAAGACAGACAAGCATGAACACTCGCAATTTGTTCACAACTAAAGTTTCAAGCTATTAATCGATCCAAAAAGTCATCAAATAAAAAAGCAAATCAATGCTTCATTACCAGGCCACTGGCGGTGCTCTGTAGGCTAACATTAGCAACCCGTGCTCCTACCCTGTCAGTCTGCACTGATAGAGGAGCAGTAACTTAGTTGCTTGACTTCAGTTAAATTTTGGGCGTCAAACAGGGGGATGCATTATGGAAATATGTCAAAAATGCAGGACTGTCATACACAAATCCACAAGAACAATGTAACGTTAGTAAGCTAGCTAGTTAGCTACTGAGACATTAACATAATACCAGTGATTTCTTTTGTTATGCTTGTTATAAAGAAAAGAACAATAATACATGAAACGACGATGGTAATCATAATTCTTGAATTTTTATTAACAAAGAAAATGCATTTGTGGGTTTCTTTTGTTGCTTGTGCAGCCAATTTGCCATTAAATCCGGTTTTGAGTGCATCTCTGAAAACCTCAGTTTTGAGGGCCATGTAGCCCCAACCCTTCACCCTATCACTCTATCCCAGCAAGAATCAGGACACCCTACCCGTAGAGATGAACACGCAAAACAGAGGAATAAGGGCTAAGTGGTATGGGCAAGAGGTGTATTGGGATTGAGCCAAAGTTTTCACTATCAATAATCTCCACTGGCATTAGAAGAGAGCATGTGCAGCCAATCAAAAACAGATCAACAAGAAAATGATTGGCAGATTAATCAAGGATGGAAATACTCACAAGATGTAGCCCTGAAATAATTGAAAGACGATATCTTAATTGCTAATGAAAATGAAAAAAACTTTTGCTGCAACAATAAAGGAGACACCAGTGACGTCATTAACACCTAACCCTCTGCCCCATCGCCCTGATGTTTAATAAGGGAAATCCATCAATACTTACACTTTCATTCTCTGACGAAGATGCTGCAGCATTTAGGTCTGTTTGTGATGTATTCAGTCCCTCACTGGATTCCTGTAAATATGAAGAGGATGGAAGTCATGAGAAAAAATGAAAACACAACATGACGTTTTGCATTTCTGCCGTATGAAATTACCCCGATGATTGGCGCTGGTTCTACATCATTGTGCCCAAAGAGCAGGCACATAAAGACAGTTTCGCCAGCTGAGCCAGCTACTTCCAGTTTAGTGCTCTGCTAATTTGAATGGGGATAAAATAATTTAATTGTGCAGCTATTCTAGACTTTCTAACTGTTATCGGATCAAATTAATTAAATCCTGATAATGACACAAGTCATCTGACGGGGGTTGTGACAAAAATTTATCCATGGTTTCACAGACATCTCTTTCACATTGTAAATCTATGAGACAAAGTATTTTTAGGCCCAATAACATTGTGTGGTGGACCCGGGAGTTGCAATACCACTGTTTGGCCACAATGAAATTGGCTTTAAAGCCCACCTTACTTCCTGAGGGCCAGGTTTCAGGAGCAAGTAGAACAGTGAACAGCCTATTTCATGTATATTGCTGCTTCAGAGGCTTTTTACTTTGACTAGAGTACACAACAAACACTTATTGCAGTCACACTTAAAGATATTAAATACTGTGTAGAATATTGTCAATCAGCAGCTATGTCAGATGTCTATTTTAAAACAATATTGGTTGAACCCTATTGTTGAGGCACTGCCAAAAACTTTGATTTGTAAATGTTTTGTAAGGCAGGGGAAAACTTAACCAGGTCTCAGTAGCTTCCACTTTAGTGTGGTGTGGTGATGCCAGCATTACTGCACAGGAGTGGAAATGTATGAACATGTGAGTAGTAGACAAACTGAAATTTGACATTTTTTAAAATTTCACAAATTTTTCTAATGACATCTCAGACTTTCATCATCTGTTTTGTAAAAGGATGAATGTTTCAGAGTGTATTTTTACTTCTTTACACTAAAAGAAAAGGGAAACATTTGGTGTCATTAATTGCAGGTTATTATGCAATGGTTTTACAGATCCAGCCCATTTGAGATCAAACTGGGCTGTAGGTGGCCCATGAACTAAACTAAGTTTGACACCCCTGATCTAAGGCAACCCAATACAACATTATCTGGTATAAATCCTACCTCGGCAAAGCTATAATGTTCAATCTTTGTTGACAATATGTCCAATGACAGTATTTCAGAGATATTTTGATTTTGAAGAATTGGATGTCGTCATATAAGGATAATCTTCTCATATTATGGCATAAACAGAGGAGGGCAGAACAGTAAAATACATTTGTAGACATGTCTGAAATAAATATAAAAAGGTATGTTTAAATTATCTACGATAATGGAAAAATATTACTTTCTGTCATAAACACAGCACATATTTAAAAACAGAAAACAAATGTACCCGTGAGCGCCATGGGTAGGAGGACTCCCCATAGTTGTAAGTTATCTCCTCGCCAGGAGATATTTTCTCCACTGCAAACAGGCACAAGTGTGGTTTTCCCTCGAAGACAATTTTCTTCATTTCGCAGTTGGGGCTTTCATGATTGTCATTCACAAGTCTCCCGAGGGTCCCGTCATCTTTTGAAGCATCAATACTGCAAACAAAATAGTCTTAATGACACTTCAATTACTCTTTAAATATTGGATTTATGACACTGACAGGGATTGAAGGTTGTGACAGACTGTTAAATATTTTGCAATTCTATCACTTTAGAGATGTCAACAGACACCTGCTGTACTCAAACAATTTAATTTTACATGTGAATTAAGTACTTTTACTTTTTTTTTAACATCCTCTTACATTCTGTTCACCTTATCCAAATTCACACTCTTTTTTAAAATCTCAATCTATAAACATATTCAACATTACAAAGACAATAAGCACAAAGCATATAAGAACCAAAAAAGCAAACAAATATGAGGTCGTGGGCGGATCAGTAAATCAAGGTAAATTTGCCTATTCTAAAATAAAAAGTTGAACACTGTAAAAACAATAATTACGAGAGATCTGTCTCCCAGTTCTTTTAGGAGTTATGTGGGGACAGTTTTTCTGAAGCCAGTATTTTGCAATGGCCTTTTTACTTGCTGCCAGCAAAATCTTTAGGAGGCAGGTATCAATTTCTACATATCCCATCAGGATGTGAATTCTAAATTTAACCTGATCAGGTTATACTTTCTTTACATTTTTTTAATCTGAAAATTTTAAGCTGTAAACTCACCGCCAGTTTGTTCCATTCCATGAGAAGTCAAACATGTAATTGTTCAAAGTAACACCACACTTCTTGTTCCTGGTTTCTTTCTGAGAGAAGATGTTCCCCCGTAACTCAACAACGAAGGCGGATGGTTCAATGGCTTCATGGGTAAACACGCCAATCCCTGCAAGAATAAAAACACAGTCCATGTTACATCTAATTACTGACCAAACATCCTATTGATGGCTCTTGTGTGCCTAAGGTCTCTTTTTAATAAAGATCTAAGGTCCTTCAAGTCCTTTGAAAAAGCATACTAAAACCTGAGCATTGTTTAAAACAACCTCCTAAAACACAAGGGCCTTTTAAAAAACATGATAGAATTGTCAACATTTAACAAAACCTTTATTTATCAGCCTGTGAAGCAGATAGACACCTAACATAAACTAGAATTGCTGCCTTGTGGTTGTATGCCTCTGTATACAAGTCAAGTTGCACTTAAAGTTTACATGCATGTCAGTAAAAACATGGAGGCTTCACACACATCTTCCCCCCGGTAGCACAGAAGATCTACACAATGGGCACAGTTTCAAGGTGGGCACCCAAGATAAATGTCACCAATACAGTATCTGACCAAATGTCTTCCCTTCTGTTCCTGAGATATGACGTGGAGTAATGGCCAGCAAAGTGTTTTTTTGCAGAACATTATGATCTCACAGTAACCTTGGCCTTTGACCACCAAATTCTCATCAGCTCATTCTTGAGTGCAAAGAATAAAATGCACTCTTGCTGTACCCTGTCTTACAGGAATATACACACATATGGTGCATCAGGTCTTAATGGGTTAGGTAGAAATCTAGATGTCATTAAGACTACATGTTTAAACAAATGGTTACATTAAAAAAACAAACAAACAAACCTTTAAGGGGGTTGATAAACCTGTCCTCCAGGAAGGGTTTGTCTCTGCAGGCCTTTATGTGCTGCAGTGCATCTTGCTCAGGAGTCAGATGACTGCCTTGTTGTTCTGCAGCAACTGGAAAAATGATCAAAATATATTAAATATGAAAGCATAATCAAAACTAACACTGGTTTGCGTTTATCTTGGAAGACTGAAGATGTGTTCAACCTGTGGTAACAAGTCTGGTTTGGTCTAGTCAGCGCAGTTTTGCTTCCACTAGACGGTAACTGCGGTTTCTAACTTTTATTGCCAGTTATTTCATTTTTATTGCCTCATCATGATGCTTATGAGTCATTTGATTTATATAATAACTAAAATAGTTATTATTTTATATAATATCTAACTTTTCTGCATTACAATGTCTAAGAACCACTGAACCAACATCATATATTTCGTTGAGTTGTTTACTTACATTGTCCCAAACATTTCCAACAATGTTCAAACCAAAAGAAACATGTATTTAATCAAGTACATGGTGCGTGTGATTTGGTCTCCATCGCCTGTCAGCGGCATCATAAGCTCTCACTGCATGAGCCACATTATTTAGATATACTTTTAAAATCTTGGTCATTTTTAACTATGTTTTGAACTGTGTCAGAAAATCCTGACCTTCTGGATCTTGTGTTACCAGAGAAAAAGGTGAGCACACACTAGCAGGTTCTAGGCTAGCGGCTCCTTCATGACAAGCTGAACAGTGTCAGAGAAACACAGATTTTCACATAAAATTGACAGGGGAGAAATAGATTGCAATGACGGCATTGCTTTGTCTTTTGTTGTTTTGATTGAGAGAACCCTAGGGGCAGCAAATTACATACTGTACGTTTAATTTCACATTTTAATAATTTAAATGATTTATTATTTAATAAAATTTACCCCCCCCCCCCCCCCCCCCCCCCCCCCCAAAAAAAAAATCAGCTGAGAGACAGTGTAGCAATGTGCATTATCAACTTCAGTGTTGTACGGTATTCTAAATAAAAGTTGTGTTACAGATTAATGGTTTCAGGAGGGAGTCATCCTTTCAACATACCGCTCTGCTGAGGCAAAAGATCTGATTCTTCATTATCCTCCTCATCATCAGACTCTTCAGGGTTGCCCTGCTCCACATCCGGCTCCAGTTCATCTGGAATGAAAAGCAAGACACAGTCTTTGTTTATATTTAGTTTAAGAAGGGACTTGTCTCTGATAAATAAGCTGGCACTGGCAGGTCTGATGTGTGTATTACACTGGACATGTACCTTCAATCTCGATTTCGTCCAGAGAGTTTCCTTTGAATCTTTCCAGAGAACCCTTTTCCATTGCCAGAAGAAGTTTTGCTATTTTTGCAAGTTCCACAGCTGCCTCTGGCAGCCGATAATAGTGCCTGTCAGCCCGGATGTCGTGGCCCAACAGTTTAGCTAGATGATCTAGCTCATCGTTCTCCAGGTTGAGAATCTGGAAGATTCTTGCGATGTGCTTGTGAAGATGCACCGACCTGAGATACTCTGGTTTCTTTGCACGACATAGACTTGAAAAAGCTCTGACGCAGTTCCCTCCGTGGTAGAGGCTTGTGGGAGAAGAGTTGGGCTTTGCAAACAAGAAAGGATTGTCTTTGTGTACACCACAGGCTTGTCTCTTGCTCACAAGCAGAGTTATAGCACTGATAAGTTCAGAGGTCAACAAAACAGCAACGTCTTGGCCACTCCTGCTCGGAATATTGAATCTGATGAAGTGCTTGGACAACACTTGGGTGGAGACGTCTCTCTCCTGGAATGTCTTCAGTGTCATTTTTGAAACCTCAGATGCACATTTGCTTAAGACAGATGCTTGTGCAAGTGTCACTCTGCAAAGTGCATTGTAGACCTGTGGGCTTTCATACTTCTTCAGCGTTTCCATGGCAGAAGCAGATGTTGTCTCTAGGTACATGTAGAACATCTGCACATCACAAGTGAATGGTATGGTAGACGGGTTGTTTACTTTTCGTCCACTCAACGAAGCGAGGGCTGTATGGGAGACGAGTGCAGACCATTCTTTAACACAAAGTTTCATGAATGTCTTTTTGTCTCTCATCATCTGCTCATTGCCATCAACTCCACTGAGGACAATGGTGCATATTTTTTTCAATGAATGTCCTATTTTCAAAGCAAGAGATGGCTTGTTGTAGCTCTGCTTCTTTTCATTGAAACCAGCAATGTCTTTGACAGCCTCAACAACTTTGTAGAAGTTTTTGGGTTCGGTGGCATCTTCGAAGCTAAATACTGACTTTTTATGCAGCGCAAGCAAAAGTCTTCCCATTTCTCGCAGCTTCTGTCTGATGTAATCACGTTTATTTGGATTATTTCCATACTTATCAGATAAAGACTGTGCCAGCTTTATTAGGAGGAAATCATTTTGAACTGCAGATGTAATTTCATCTGGTTTCATAGTTACAAGCAACTTCCACACGCCAGATGGAAGTGTTCGGGAGAATGGGGACTCTGCAAGAGCCATTTCTGTTAGGACATATGTCTTGCCTCCTGCTGAAGAGTTTGATGTTGTCCTGGAAGGACATTTGGCTACATGCCTCCACATCTCGTTACGACTAAACATGGCTTTACAGTGTAGACAGTGAGCGTAGGTTTTAGTATTGATCTCCCCGGTTTTTGGCCGTCTTCTAAGTTTTAACTCTCCACTGTTGTTCTTCAACACTTCTTGATTATGTTTGTAATTTCCCCTGTTACGTAATTCGTTTAATAACCTTTTTCGTTCCTTGGAGTTATGGGGAAAAGCAAAAGCTTCAGCGATTTCAGGCTCTTCATCAGCATGCTTTAAAAGATGACGAGAAATTTTACAAACACCTTTCCCACAAACATAACAGTAATTTTTACTGGTGTAAAGAGGGTCTTCGGAGTTCTTTCTAGGCTTGCGGGATCTGAAGTTTACACCCCATCTGTGATCATTAGGGCTGAAAAAGGCCTCGTCCTCCTGCTGGATGCAAGAAGCATCATCTGATTGCATCATGGAAGTTCCTGTCATGTCTTGAGAAGAATCTAAATCTGCAAAAGGTGAACTGTCCCTGAAATCCAGCTGAGTGTTGATGTCAGCAAAACTGTCATTGCGACAACTCGGCCCGCTATCAGGTAGTTTGTCGTCATCGTCATCATCATCATCATCATCAGAGCAGGAATTTTCAAAGCTGGAAGCTGATGAGTCCTCAAGCTGGAAATACAGTACATACAAGGAATTTTATACAAACATAACGTTATACACAAATGAACATGCAATTTGCTGTTTGCTAGTGTGCCTCAAAAAAAGAATTGTTTCAGAGGGGCAGCTAACTATAGTGGCTAATGAGAAAACGTGAAAATGCAAAAATGTGAAAGCGCAAATGGCTGTATCTATAGCCAGTGTTTGATTTGTCTGGTCTTGGGTACTATAAAACATGGCAGTGCAACATGGTGCACTCCGTAGAAGAGGATCCGATCTCTATATAAATATAAACAGCTCATTCTACGGTGATTATATTTTAAACTAATGACAACATCCTTTTTTAAAAATGATATATATATATCCCCCCAAATTCCTAAAAACTGTACCTTTAAAAGTGAAAACGGGGGAACAGCTAGCCAGTCTCTATTCAAAAGTAACAAAACCCACCTGTCATCACCTCTACAGCTGATTAATTAATACATTATATCTATAATCTGTACACTCAAACAGTATGCAAGATTTTTTAGTATGTCCGAATCCTTAACATGAAACCAACAACATGAAAATAACGATCCATTTCTGGTGAAATACTACAGTCTGAAAGCACTGGACACTACACCAGCATCAATATCCCATATTGCAATGTGGCAGACAGCAAGCAAAGCTCTGTAACAGTAATTACGCCTCAATTTAAGTGTAAGTGAGAGTTATAATAATTTTGTATTTTTCATTAGTTTTTACTTGTATTTGGGGTTTTTTTTTCTTCTCAATGTAGCTTGGTTTCAGTTAGTTTCCAGAGTGGGTTTGCTCATTTCAATCTAGTTTGTTTTTGTTTTTTTAACATTTATTTTGACTTTAGATTATATTAGTTTCAGTATTAGTTTTAGTTTGTTCATAGTATATTATGTGGGTATTTGACAGGGGGAAGAGTTAAGAAGTACAGAATATTACAATACAAACATGACATATTGAAGGCAACTGACCCACAGTCATGTAGACAGACATGACAGTCTCAATAAACATATGCACCAGTGCCTTCTGCTTGTTGTGTGGCTGGCAAAGATTAAAACTAGATTCAAAGAAATCCAGCACTAAAGACAGTACAAATTTAATGTTTGCTCCTTATTTTACCACTTGTTTTCACCTGCTAGCTTAATGTCTGATGTCAACCGAGCATACAATCTCTTCAGTTGATTGAGAACTGGTCACAATCTGTACTCACCTTTCCCATTGGAATAAATAGACTCAGGACCGTCACTAGTCTCCTAAAGGGGCGGGGCAGTGGTGATCCCACACGACACAGATACAGAAAATGAATGGAATGTGGGCCATCTCCGTTTACCAGCGGTCTCTGCCTTACCATAATAGTGGGCTCACTACCATGGATAGTGATTAATTCGGGACACAGCCTTTTACTAAGTCCTGTAATCACTGTAAGGTTGCCAGGCGACCAGTGAAAACTTAAGGAGGTACTGAACCTGGCCAAAAATCAGCAAACACCCTCCAGTTAAACCACAATTTGTCTTTTGAATTTTTATTTGCGATCTTTAGAAGTGTGTGAGATCAGAGTCTGCATATGTCGATAATGCTACAGTGAGGTCTTATTTGCTGGAGAAGCCAGACAAGTCCACGTAGACAGTCTGTAAAAGCATTCAGTGTAGTCTACTACATACCCTTTCATTCCTTGGTGTTGATGTCGAATCATAAAGGCGTGAGTATGAGGCACTCGATCCCTCATAGGACTCCTGTAAATGTCAAAATATGTTCGAAAAGTTGTGTGAAAACTTGACACTTGGGTTTTCCTGCATTATAAACTGCAATTTTGCAAACTGCAAATCTGAGTCACTATGTGTACTGCCTTAATCAAAATATACTCTATGTGTTTGCAAGATGTATGGAGAGTCTAAGTGTCCAAGATTGAATAAATGAGACTAAATTAAATAAATAATCATATAAATGAATACAGACAATATATATAATAAAACCATGAAATTGTGAAATACTGCCATACATTGTGAGAATTCCATTCATTATTATTAAATGTAATTTTATCCGGCTTGTTTCCACAATGAAGATTTATTGCAGGTCATTTTGCACACACACACACACACACACACACAAATGCACACATATTGGTCTAATAAATTTAAGCACAAAGTCTGACCCTTTTCAAGTAAACTGGACAGAGACAGGTAAGTTACTGTCAGCACAGTGTCATTGAAATTTGATGTGTTTGGATGTTCCAAAAAGAGCTTTAGTGTGTATGAAATAACATAATTATCATTAAATGATAATAGCTCCCCTGCAGGCTCAAAAATGCACACTGCCCATGACTGCCATTATGGCTACAGCCATTATGATAATAAACAACATTGAACTTCTGTGTCTCTACAACAGTATACATACTAGATGTGGTGCTTTTTGATGTGGTTTGACTAAAACAATTCCGCATTCTGCTGTGATTAACAACAGTAATAGCTTTCACTCTAAATGCAGAACCATAGGGCTGAAGACTGTCTGAAATCAAAACCCTACATCACCTCACAACTATAACATGATGTATACCAGGGGTATACAAACTTTTTCTGAATGGGGGCCGGAAAAATAATGTGGACTTATCTGGTGGCCAGCTGCTTCTCAGTTATCATTTAAAAAAATAAAAAATAAATAAATCCTTTAGCCTTTGGCTTTTTGTGCTGTGGCCATGTCTGCTACCTAGCAGGAAATGTTGGCTGTTAGGCAACCATTTGTTTGCTGATTTACTGTGTGTTTATGAAAGCACATTAGTGTGTGCGGCTCCTACTTGGTGCATTTCTTCAAATTGTGTTATACACTGCCTGGCCAAAAAAAAAGTCACCACCAAAAAAAAAGGTCATACACTCTAATATTTCGTTGGACTGCCTTTAGCTTTGATTACGGCACGCATTCGCTGTGGCATTGTTTCGATAAGCTTCTGCAATGTCACAAGATTTATTTCCATCCAGTGTTGCATTAATTTTTCACCAAGATCTTGCATTGATGATGGTAGAGTCTGACCGCTGCGCAAAGCCTTCTCCAGCACATCCCAAAGATTCTCAATGGGGTTAAGGTCTGGACTCTGTGGTGGCCAATCCATGTGTGAAAATGATGTCTCATGCTCCCTGAACCAGTCTTTCACAATTTGAGCCCAATGAATCCTGGCATTGTCATCTTGGAATATGCCCGTGCCATCAGGGAAGAAAAAATCCATTGATGGAATAACCTGGTCATTCAGTATATTCAGGTAGTCAGCTGACCTCATTCTTTGAGCACATACTGTTGCTGAACCTAGACCTGACCAACTGCAGCAACCCCAGATCATAACACTGCCCCCACAGGCTTGTACAGTAGGCACTAGGCATGATGGGTGCATCACTTCATCTGCCTCTCTTCTTACCCTGATGCGCCCATCACTCTGGAACAGGGTAAATCTGGACTCATCAGACCACATGACCTTCTTCCATTGCTCCAGAGTCCAATCTTTATGCTCCCTAGCAAATTGAAGCCTTTTTTTCCGGTTAGCCTCACTGATTAGTGGTTTTCTTAAGGCTACACAGCTGTTCAGTCCCAATCCCTTGAGTTCCCTTCACATTGTGCGTGTGGAAATGCTCTTACTTTCACTATTAAACATAGCCCTGAGTTCTACTGTTGTTTTTCTTCGATTTGATCTCACCAAACGTTTAAGTGATCGCCGATCACGATCATTGAGGATTTTTTCTGGCCACATTTCTTCCTCGAAGACGATGGGTCCCCACTATCCTTCCAGTTTTTAATAATGCGTTGGACAGTTCTTAACCCAATTTTAGTAGTTTCTGCAATCTCCTTAGATGTTTTCTCTGCTTGATGCATGCCAATGATATGACCCTTCTCAAACAGACTAACATCTTTTCCACGACCATGGGATGTGTCTTTCGACATGGTTGTTTAGGAAATGAGAAGCAACTCATTGCACCAGTTGGGGTTAAATAACTTGTTGCCATCTGAAAGATAATCGCCCATGCAGTAATTATCCAATAGGAGGCTCGTACCTATTTGCTTAGTTAAATCCAGGTGGCGACTTTTTTTTTGGCCAGGCAGTGTAGTCCTGCTATCGTGAGGTGAATGAAAAAGTGAACTTACTTAATAAAGTAATATTGTATGGCAAGCCAAAGGTATATTTTGACCGCTGTGGGCTGATCAAATTTGACCCCAGGATGGACTTTGGACATGCCTGGTGTTTACACTCAGTTGCTTTTTTTAATTATATTTTCTATTAGCCACAGGGTTCCACACATTTTTAACAATGAATTTTCAAAACTTTTCCATAATATTTAACTACACCATTTCCATGACTTTATTCAAGTAGTTTAGAATTTGTAGGCCTATATTTTGTGACAAAGCCATACATTACGGATAAGAAAACTGCAAAGCTGCTTGCTAACTTTACTTGCTCCTTAGTCATTCCTGCCACCAACTAGCTTAATATGCCAGACTGACACGTAAGGGTACTTCACAAGACACCAGTGTCCCTTTTTGAGTGATGTAAAAAGTCAGTGTAACTTGACCTGTGTTTGGACTATATGTTTGACAAGTTGGTATGAAGTTATTTCTTGTCAAACAAACATTGATTTCATAGACACGTTAAATAATTGATTTGTGACCTTTCCTGAAACTGAGCGTTCGTGATAACTTAATAAATTCAGGTTTTATCACTGTTGTGTCCCTTTAGTCTTTCCCCGTTCAAGTAGATCAATGACACAACAGAGTGGCTGGATATTATCAATGTTTGGATCACCAGGTATTATCTCAAATCTTTGTGTGAAAACCTTGGTTAACCTGCTACACAATAGCTTTTTGGCATTTTTCTCCTGATGTGACAGCACATTTCTTTTCTCCAAAAGGGTGCTTGGCTTTAGTGTTGACGCAATACTGGCCTGGTCTATGTGTATCATGATGCAATTAACAGCACTACATTTTGACTTTTTATACAGGATTAGTATTAACTAGGTGTAAATAATATTCTGGCAAGTGACTGAAATTTTTATGGCAGAAATCTAAAAGCAAGGCTCTGTTTATATAAAAATCTTACCTTTGATCGCCATGGGTAAGCTGAGTCCCCATAGTTGTAGGTTATCTCTTCGCCTGGAGATATTTCTGTCACTGCAAATAGGCATAAGTGTGGTTTTCCCTCATAGACAATTTTCTTCATTTCACAGTTGGGACTTATGTGATCATCATTCACAAGTCGTCCAAGGGTCCCGTCCTCTTTCGAGGCATCAATGCTGCAATAAAAATACTCTTAATAAAACTCAAACCCCTCTTAAAATGACTACACTTGACTGTATTGTTTCATCATAAAACACATTAATAAACTGCAGATAACCTAACCAAGTCTCTTTATGACAAACTGAAAGCTTACCACCACTGTGCTCCTATCCATGGAAACTCAAACAAATAATTGTTCAGAGTATCCCCACGCTTTGGTGTTTTGTCTTTATGAGAAGAAATCTTTCCCCGATATTCAACAACAAACGTGGATGGTTCAATGCCTTTGTGGGTGAACACTCCTCTCCCTGGAGGGGTAAAGATTGACATGAAAACCTAAGTCACATGTGATGCTGGTGGCAGTTACGAGAGTCAATGGTGATATGCGTGACCATAACATCGGTTTTATTTTCAACAAATGTATTTTAAGAATGAGAGACAAATCTCCTCTTGGCATTCAATTAACATGTCATCCCCATCCACCCTTCCAAAAAAAAGAATAAACATATTTCTATAATCTTTTACTGTGCAGTCATTTAATTTTTCCCTCTGTGTGACTTGTCCAACTTTAAACTGGGTTGCTGTGCATTTTCCAGCATGTCTTTCATTAACAGACAGAAAAGAACAATATCAAGTCTGTATGTGGGCATAAAAATGGACAATAAACTGTAAATATCAGTACTTGTCTCTGATCATGGCCCCACTCCTGTTGAATCTATAAGAACATTTTAAAGCACCAATGTTTAGCAACACTACATCTGGGAGGCACTGAGTTCACTCAAACTCCCTTTCTAACACACAAGATAAGGATGTTTTTTATCATTAATATCTACATAAAAGCCCGCTGTAAGGTAATACCAGAAATCCCTTCGTTACCAACATAGAGACTGCTATTGGAAATGTACTTCCTACCTTTAAAGGAGTCAATAAACCTTTCCTCCAGGAAGGGTTTGTCCCTACAAGCAATTATGTGCTCTAGGGCATCTTGCTCTGGAGACAGTTGACCCTTATGCTCCATGACAACTGAAAAAAATCCAAACATGCTAAATTAGATTAGGGTGATAAAAGATCAGCTGAGCATGCTGTAAATATATTGCATTTTGAATGTTAATAAGTATTTTTTTTTTTTAAAGATATTTTTTGGGGCTTTTTAGCCTTTGATGTATAGGACAGATAAGTGTGAAGGGGGGAGAGAGAGAGGGAGTGACATGCAGCGAAGGACCACGGGCTGGAGTCGAGCCCGGGCCGCTGCAGCGACAGCCTTGTTCATGGGGCTCCTGCTCTACCACTAAGCCACCGGCGCCCCTGTTAATAAGTATTTTAATCACTTTCTGATATAGGACATGTACAACACTACTTTGAAACAATAGGTTAGTTAGCCAACAGAAACACTTTGGGGCTATGACATGTGAAACACTGTGATTTGCATGTGTAAAAAAAAAAACAACAAAAAAAAACCTTTAAAACATTATGTCTGTGTGTCTGTGCATGAAAGATTGAAGCAAGCTTGGTTAACTCAACTACAACTTAAACTTAAAATCCATCACTCAGGACAAGTGTGCAAGCGCTCACAATATTCATTTCTGTGATGTTTTTTTATCCAGTGTGTGCTGCCACACCTGGCAAGTATAAACTCTATTTTGCCAAATGATAATCTAAAGAAGACCCAATCACAACTTGTGTACAGATGTGTAGGACTAATATAATCAAAGCGATTTGGAAGCTTTCCAGAAATGAATATGCCATATTTACCCTTTGCTCTCTGCACCATTGCACTACTGTCCTATTTTTTTTTTACAGATGTCACTGTGATATTGCTTATATATTTATCCTTTTTGTATAAATTTTTTACTTGTACACAATGGTCAAATGTTTCCTTACATTGTTCAGCTTTGTCCTTGTTAAGCTGCATGTCCATTACTCACTTGTAATATTTACCACCCTATTGTCAGTTTAGTGAAGTGAAATTAAACTATTTTGTCTCCATTTGCTGTCAACTCCATGCACAAATGCAGTCTTTAAACAAAGTTCATGTTTAAATACCATATGAACATGCACAGTAAAGAAACCTGTGTTGAGACTATGACCATTGGGAAAAAAGTGAGAAACCTGAATAAGTAGGCTGTGGTCTGTTCTATAAAGCATTGTCTAACTGTGTTTCTATCAAGCCATTTTTGTTAAGCCAGAGTTGTATTGGACTGTTTACTTTCTCCTGCAAACATGCCTTGCTAGCATGCTAACACTAATCAGCAAGTGTTACAGAAGCTAGCAGTAGTTTGCCAACAAACTATCTTCTGCTTTTGACTTAAATGCACGTAACTTTAATATATATATATTTAAAACACGTTTACCTTTCTTCAATATCCCACAGTACTTGCAAGAAGTGGTACAATTGTAGCTAACACAGTGGCAGCCATCTTTCGTTTCTCTCGTCTTTCAACAGACCTCGTGACGATGACGCTGTATTACCTACGGTGAAGGCGGCAAATCCAGCCAATCAGATTGTAACATCGCCGACTGACACTGGAAGCAGCCAATCAGAAGTCGTAGGCATCTTGACCAGGGGAAGACCATTATTTCACAGCGAGGACAGTCCTTCACGAAATTACTGGTATATGTGGTTTATGGGGACACACACATAAAAAGACTCGTTTATTGTCCTTGTGTACGAGCTAATACACAATAAACATCTTATAATCACTTAAACTCCTGTAACTGTGGTCTCAAAAACAACTACGTTTTGAAATGTGTTTATTTAAAAACAACATACAATAGAAAATACTCAGAACCTTGGCAGCCATTTCAGTGCGTTCAACAAACAGGTAAAATTGTGTTGTTTTTTCCCCAAATGGCAATAAAGTTGACAGCCTTTTTATACAGTGATACATTTTTTTTTTTTTTAAACTGTTTTCAAATCAATTCCTAACATTTTTTATTCCCATCATTTGGACACTGGTGATGAAATTGGTCCATTTCTATTGATGAGGCAAATATAGAAAATTGTTTCATTAAATGTATAGGACAAAAAATTAAACATCACTCTGACCAGACTTTTTGCAAGTAAAGTTATCTGACAAACAAAATTATTAAGTTATTGTGTAAATTTATCTTTAACATTTCACCGTGGCAAGTTGGAGAAGCCTCTGGAACATCAATTTTACAAGAAGATATAAAAAGGAAATAATCCAGCCATGTCACACTTTGGTATGATTTCCTATGAATTCCAGGAATTATTTTGTTATTCAGTGTAATTCCTAAATTTCTGAGAAAGACTTAACAGATATTGGGTATAAATCTGTGCAAAAATACTGGGTCTGGAAATAAGCATGTGCTCTTTGACTGACACCAAATAACGGCATTGATGCACAGTTGAAAATCAAAGTACACTGCAGGTTTGTCACTCAACATGATGATTGAGTGTTTACATCTACATCACGGAAAGTTGTTTTCAGTTTGTCTTCTGGACATTTACTCATTGACATTAACAGCGATCAAAACAGTTTTTCATTGTAGCTTTTTTAAACAAGGACAAAAAAACCTTAAGTCCAGTTTGCACGAGAAATGAAGGAATTGTAACGTGGAAGGAAAAAAGTAGCATTATCTATGAAAAGCAACCATTCAGCAGACAAAACAGAAGGACAACAATGTGTCCTCCTGAGCAGTAGTTAACAGTCTGAATGCTGAGCTGTCTTTAGTCCCACCTACACAACATGTGTTTTAGGAAGCATGACTTTCTTCGCAGTTCTGCACATTGTAGTTATGTATGCCAGAGATTTATTCAGTTCATTTCTGTTTATTGGGCAATGTTTAAATGAACAGTTTATCTACAAATATTTACACCACAAGCCGCTGCACCAATAAAAGGTCACTTCTGCTTTTCATCACTCTGAATCCCCATCTTGTTCGTCAGGTATAAATGGTGGATCATCAAGTGTTTTCTGTTCAGTCCCTCCATCTTGCCTTGCTTTTAGATGCAGCTCCCTGACAGTGAGGATGCGGATGAGCATGGCCTCCATGGTGTTGTCATCCAGAGGGGTAGAAGAGAACCACAGGGGGCTGTTGGGGACGCAACAGCGCTCAGGGTGAAGGTAGAACAGGTTGGTGCGCTGCTTGACTGACTCCGAGCTGGATGGAAGAGAGTTGTTAATGTCAACATGACTATCAGCGAATTAAGGAGACCAATGTGCAGCTTTAAGTTTCATTTTAGTCTTGATAGAGACACGATAAAGGAATTTGGTAGGGCAAGACAGTCAACATTTTAAATTCTTAAGCAACAACGGACACACCAGCTTGTGGGTGTCAATATTTTGCTTGGGCAAAGTTACTTAATACACTCATTAAAGGATAGTTTCACAATTTTTCAGGTCCATCTTTAAACAATAGTGAGGTGTCCATACGAACACTAAAACAGTTTTTGGTCATTCTAAGTAGTTCAGTTTGTATAAACTCACCACTTGGAAAGATAGAACTCATACAGTCTGACTGGACAGCGGAGAGGGTTCTCTGTGTTCTCCATCATCTCCAGGATATCCTCTTTACTCTCCTCTTCCTTACGCTTCTTTGCCGGAACCTCTGGATCTGAAGAGGGCACAAACACATTTATACCATTTTTAATCTAAATCCAATAAATTAAAAAAATATTTTAATTTAAGAGGACTGCTGATGTGTTTTACTTTCTTAAAAACAGGGATGTCCCTATCTGATCTTAAAGTTCTGTATCAGAGTCAATCAAGGCATTTTTTTAACTGAATGGGATTGGCTGAATTGAGCTATACAGAGCCTGATCCGATCCTTTGTTTTACATAAGCCATTTCTACTCGCGAAGCTTTAATGCACAGCAATGCCAACGAGTGCAGCTGCTGGTAACTCTCCAACTCTCTGCTGTCTTGTATCTCCTCCACTTCACCGAGCTTCATGTGTGTGCAAGAGCAGGGCTGAGCCCCATCCACTGCAGAACACCACTTGCCATAAACAAAATCTCAGTATGAGTATGAAAGTTATAAGCACTCGTTTCATTTTAGCTCAGTGTAGGAGGGTCTTGGTTCTGCTGTCATCTGTGGTGCAGGGTGACTGAACTCCTTGCTCAGAGGAGAAACTGTTAACTATGCAGAGCTTATGACAACTACACTCACCCCGTTACTGCAACAAAAGCCCTGCGAGCAAAAAGCCAATAAGGGTAATTTATTAATGCAACCTAATCTACAAAAAAGATGTTAAGACGACAAATAAAAACACAACAGAATACAGCTCAGCCGCATAATTTAGGCAAATGATGCAGCGAAGCAACAAACAAGTGGAGAATACTCTCAGAGAAATTCCCTCAAGACAGCCACAAGCTCACCAGGATTTAAGGGGGGTGTGTGTTATTTCATTTATATTGACTTATTCTGTAAAAATAAATCAATAAATAAAACAATGAGAAACAGCTTGGATGCACAGATTTTTTTAACACATTGCAGAGCTATTCCATTATTAAGCACAGGCTATGGCCTGCATTGGACTGATATTAGTGACTTTCAAGTACTTGAGTGCGCACTGTAAAGCTGTATTATGTGGGACAACAGAAGTATCTGATCAGAACTCTGAGTCAGCACATACCATATATTTACTGACTTGGATCAGGATCGGGGGCAAAAAAAATTGATCAGGACATCGCTACTTAAAATCTGTACAGCCATGTGTTGAAACAAATCAGTACTTCATTTCGACCATCAGCCACACTGGTACCTGACTCTGGCTCGTTTATGGATATTGGGGGATAGAAGCGCAGAAAGGTCGTCTTGGTGTTGTTCGGGTTGGTTTTGGTGCAGCGCATGACGTGGGCGAAGGACAGCTGACGGTGCTGCTCCACTGTGGTGAAGCCAAAGTACTTGCAGCAGAAGAAGAGCAGAGTGTTGAGGAGGACGATGGGGGAGTACGCCCCCAACTGTTTACAGTCCCAAAGATACTCCTCCTCCACACGGGAATGGATATAACCTGTAGAGAGAGGGAGAGGGGCGGTTAGAAATCTGGTCAAATGTTGGTGTGAAACACAAACTGACAGAAGACAAAGAAACAATGAAAAACATGTATAACTCACCGCTTGCTGTGATAGAGGGTTTGAATCCTCTCAGCATATTAGTGAACTCGGTGGAGAACTTGTTGTAGAACCGATCCATGAATATGTTCTCCACACGACCGTTCTCAAACAGGTACTAGAGAGAGATGAGAGGTTACAGAGACATAATAAGCAAAGACATAACTGTCATGTATTTAACTATAGTGTATTTGTTGATGAATGCATTTAAGTAGATATTTCTGCCTTATTCTACTGTTACCTGATCACTATCAGCTGTATTGGAGTTGTGTTTGGTTTCTGCTATTGCAAATTGCACCTTTCCTGCTGCTTCACATTAAAACCTTTCCACTAGTAAATCAGCAAGATGCTTTTATTAAGTAGAAGTTATAGAAAGTACAATCAATAAGTTAGCAGACCTACGTTTGCACTGCTATTCTTTAATAAAAACAGATATAATCAATCCGATATAGACACATTCTTCATTTTTTTCTGACTTTTTTTAATGTGACAAAGGTCTTGCCTGTTGAATGCCGAGGCAGAGGTAGAACAGGCTGTCAGGGGAGTACGGTTCTCCATTGGGGCGTTTCACCTCACTAATGAAGCAACAGAGGCCATAGCTCAGCTCAGCAGTTGTGCAGCGAAGGACATCCTCCTTCAACTCCATGGGACGAGCTGAAATCAAGACACGAGGAGTTCCAAATAATCAAAGGTTAATAAAAACATTCAATCTTGATGTATACTGTCAAACTTTATACACATAATCTGGGCAAAGATACAGTATTTAAGACAACATGAGAATGTTAGAAACAACATCTAATGATCTGTTGGATGTTCTGAGCCATTTTTCTCTTATGAACTATGGACATAGCTCAGAGCTGTCCTTTGTCTGTGTCAGGTGCATTCTCACCAACTGGAAACACCACATTTGGTTTAGGCAAGGAGTTGCACCTGGGCAGAGCGAGCAGGTGGCAGGGCATGACGTGGATTACACCGCAGTCGAGCAGGCCGTTTTTAATTTAGTCGAACAACAGAACCTCTTTCGGTTCCTTTAATTTGTCTGACAATTTCAGCTTTGGCCCTTACAGACACAAGATTATAGACATTTTTGTTGCCATCTTTGTGTAGATGACTGGCCTTACTTGCCTTAAGCTGTAGGAACCCTTGGACATTACACAGACTTTGTACTGGGGCCAGGCAGGGTTAAAGTATATTTAAGTTTAATTTCCAATCTAACTGATTTGGATATTTCCATTCTCACATATAGCTCCTCCAGGTGATGTCTTGATAGTTTCAGGTTTGTAGTGCATGTGTAAAGAGGCTCTGAATAAAACTGTCCACCAGATGGTTTAATATTATTAGATAATC